AATAACCCACAACCCATTTGTCACCATTTGCCACCAACACCTCTTTCTTCTTGATCATTGTCTCGCTGCAGACTTCTAGTTGCTCCCACATATTGGTACATATCCTCCATATGTTTTCATCATCTATCTCTGATGCTCCCATTATTGTTCTTACAGGGAACCACAGTATTTTCTCACATACAGGCCTTATCTCCATAAATACAGTAACCCTAATTTCCTTCAAATTATTCAAAGATGATAACTACGCATCCTGATATACTCAATTCTCCAATCTACTATTTGGCTATGATCTTCTAGGCTATGTCGATGGCTCTCTTCGTTGTCCACGGGCAATGTTTAACATCCCAGGTGCACCCAGTCTAGTACCAAATCCACCAAATCCGGACCACAAATTATTTACGCCAAGATCGTCTCATCCTTCAAGTTATTCAAGCCTCGGTCGCTAGATCCCTCGCCCCACTCATTTCTTCGTGTGACACTACTATCGAAGCTTAGTGCAAGTTGTTGAAAAACCCTATGATAAGTTGACTGACTATGAGATATATCTCAAGCATGATGATAAATTATCAGGACCATCCATCACAGCTCAAGTCAGTTAAAAATCTAAAAAGAAGAGCACCCGGTACAACAAATCTATCAACAAAGGTTTAGCCAGCATGCCTGCACTTGTGGGCTCCAAACAAACCTTTCCTCCTCAGCATTTTAATTATAACCATCAAGGTGACTACTTGTGACTACTTTAATTATCCTCAACCCTAGCATCCTGATAACATAAATCAACAAAGAATTGTTTGTCAACTATGTGATAAAGTTGGCCACTCTGCAAAAGTCTATAGAACTCGACCCAGACTTCATCCTCCATCGCATTGGCCTCACGCAAATCTTACAGCTACTCCGACTACTGGTCATCAAAATTAGATTGTGGGCTCTGGCGTATCTCATCACATCACCTCTGATTTATAAAACTTGTCTATCCACAATGACTATGGCGGAAACGAAGACATCATCATCAGTGACGGTAACATACTCCCCATTACTCATACTAGTTCTATAATACTTAATTCATATAGCACTTTATTTATGCTAGATGATGTTTTATGTGGACCCCACATCAAACAAAACCTCATTTCTGTTTCTTAATTCTGTAAACAAAATCATACCTCAATTGAATTCTTTTATAACTTCTTTCTTGTCAAGGATTTGAGCACGGGGGCACCCTTAGTCCAAGGCCAGAGTAAAGACAATATTTATGAGTGGTCGTCAGTTCCACAAATTACCCAACCAACTGCCTACTCTTCGGTCGTAGCTCCAACTGATATGTGGCATCGTCGTCTTGGTCATCCCTCAACTTTTATTCAGCAAAAATTACTTTCCCATTATTCTCTTCTTACCTTACAACCAATAACATCATAACTCATTGTGATGCTTGTTTAAGTAATAAAAGTCATAGACTTCCCTTTGGAAAATCCTTCATATCTTACTCTAAACCCCTTGAGGTTATTTACACTGATGTTTGGGGCTCCGCTCTAATCACTTCCTTTGACAAATTCAGATTTTATGTTATTTTCGTAGACTACTTTACCAAATACACATGGTTATACCCTCTTCACCATAAATATGAAGTTTTCACAGTCTTTACCAACTTTCAAAGATTGGTCAAGAACTTCTTTCAGTCTAAAATTAAAACTATTTACTCCGATAATGGCGGTGAATATCAAGCCCTCACATCCTGCTTATCTGCTTGTAGTATACAATACCTCAAGTCGCCTCCATACACTCCTCAACTCGTCGGTTCTGTTGAACGCAAACATCGACATATAGTTGAAACTGGTCTCACACTTCTACACCAAGCCTCTATGCCGCTAACTTTTTGGACCGCAGCATTTCAAACTATCGTCTACCTCATTAATCGTATGCTCACTCTTGTCCTTGAGTACGAGTCACCATTTGAAAAATTATTTCACAAATCCCTAAACTTTTAAAAACTTAAAGTGTTTGGATGTTTATGTTATCTATGGCTCTGTCCCTATGCCTCACATAAGTTAATATCAAAATCTAAATCTTGTGTTTTCATTAGATACTCTCTTGACCATAATGCTTTTCGATGCTATGAACCCAATCTCGAAAAGTCTTTACGTCTCGTCATGTTATTTTTATATAGACTACCTTTTCGTTTTACAACCATGAGTCTCCTACTGTACGACCTACTCCATCACATATACATCACTGGAGTACGGCATCAATCCCATCAACCGAAACTCCCATAATATCATCCAGTCATTTTCCTCAGGATTCACACTCTCTTCTTCTCCCGGTGCAACATCTCCTGGTGCAACAGCTCCTCACCCTCTCCATTGTGCCTCTCCCTTCTTCACAAGGTTCCTCTACGACTAAAGGTATTCCCTCAAAATCATATTCACTACCTTTATCCTCTTTTGGGACCAATGACACTGAAGTCTCTCAGCCTATCCTAATCTATGCCCCTCCACCGCCCATACCTACAACACCCTTTATAGCCCTTGGATATCCAATGACAACATGCTCCAAAAGTGGTATATTTAAAACACGACAAATCCTTGACCTAAATACCATCACAATATCCTCATCAGAGACCACTGAACCTACCACAATTACTCAAGCCCAAAAATCTTAATATTGGCGTAAAGCCATATGTGAAGAATATAATGCATTCCTCTATAATTCTACATGGACCCTTGTACCCTCTCATTCCACACAAAACATCATCGGGTGTAAGTGGGTCTTTCGAATTAAGCGAAACCCAAATAGATCCATAACTAGATATAAAGCCCGTCTAATGGCCAAAGGGTTTCATCAACGACTTGGTGTTGACTTCATATAGATATTCAACCCTGTTGTTAAACCCATAATAATCCGACTTATTCTGAGTTTGGCCATCTCAAAAGGCTGACATTTACGTCAACTAGACGTTAACAATGTTTTTCTACAAGGGACCCTAACTGATGATGTCTTCATGTAGCAGCCTCTTGGCTTCATCCACTCTCAATATCTAAAGCATGTTTATAAACTACAAAAAGCTATTTATGGACTTCGTCAAGCTCCAAAAGCTTGGTACACCGAACTTGGTTCGTTTTTGGCATCAATTGGCTTCATCAACTCTAAGTCTGATACCTCCTTATTTCTTCGTCACCAAAGTGGCAATATATTATATCTTCTGGTATATGTGGATGATATTATTGTCACAGGCAATAATCATATGGAAATTAAGGCATTCCTCAAGCATTTAGCAGATCGATTCTCCCTTAAAGATATAGGAACCTTGAGTTATTTTTTGGGAGTGGAAGCAACATACACATCTTCCGGGCTCTTCCTATCACAACGAAAGTATATTCAAGATCTATTATCTAAAACGAACATAGATACAAAGGCAGTTACAACACCTCTGTCTACTGGCGAGTCGCTCAAACTATGTGATGAAAGCCCTGCTACAGACCCAACTCAATACCGTCAAGTCCTTGGCTCCTTATAGTACTTATCTCTCACCCGTCCAGATATCTCATTTGTGGTCAATAAATTATCTTAATTTATACATCGACCATCTACTATGCATTGGTCTGCAGTCAAACAAATATTGTGATATCTTCACTGGACTATCAATCATGGCTTCTTTTTTCGCAAACACTCCCCCCTTCATTTCGATGCCTTTGTTGATGCTGATTGTGCAGGAAATTTTGATGACAGAACATCCACATCGGGGTATATTCTCTTCCTTGTACCTAATCCAATCAGTTGAAGTTTCAAGAAGCAAAAGACAATTGCACGTTCTACAACCGAAGCTGAATATCGTGCCATTGCTACCGCTGTTGCAGAACTCAATTGGGTCATGAATCTCCTCAAGGAACTTGGCATCAACATCAACTCTACTCCTACAATATATTGTGACAATATCGGAGCCACTTATCTATGCGCCAATCCGGTATTCCACTCCCGCATGAAACACATCACCATCGACTTTCACGACTAAGCCTCTGACTCGTAAATTGCCTCAAGAACAGCTAAGATCTCTCCACCTACATGATAAGATATCATAAAACTGTTAAGGAAAATCCTCGAGAAAAATTCTCAATTCTAAACTTGTATAAATATGAAGTATTATGTATTATTTCAATCAATACAATATTTTCTTTCTATTTGGTTCAAGATTATAGCTTGTTCGGGGTTAGCATCCTTAGGACATCTGCAGACGGTCGGTGGGATCCAGCCATGCCATTCAATGCAAGGTTGTAGAGAAATGCTTGTTCGATTATTCAGCCGGTGATGAAGCAGGGATTCACGTTGAAGAGCGAGCTTGCAGAGAAGGCACGGCATAGTTTTTGCGCAGACGAACCTCGTTTGCAGGTGCGTAGGCGTAAACGTTGGGTTGCCATCATAGCTGGAAAGAGAAGGCCGGCTAATCTCTACGCCCTCTCTCTCTCCGGTCTTCGAAATCGTTTTCTGCTCAACCAGTGCTTTCATCGCCTTCCGTTACCTACCTTGTTTCACCGGTGTCATTGTCCACCTAGCTAACCACCGCTGCTGTTACGAAGCGTCCATCCGTGGCTTTAACCTGGCGTGCACCATGTTTCACCTGCGACTGTTCAAGCCTGAGCCTCCGCAACTTTTGGGTGGTGGAGTTGGTTCGCCTGGTCTTTTCCATTACAGCTGGATCGAACGCAAAGTTTCCTGCAACTACACACTTAGCAACTACTGATGTGTAGCTAATGCAACCTTCCAAACATTCTTATTTTTCTTTCTCGTCTGAGCGATTAAGATTTGAATTACGAAACTTATTTTATTTTTATCTTAGGATTCCCACCTCAAGTGTTTCGATTTGTTCCTTCTTTTAAAGTTGCAAGTATACATTGGAATATATAACGACACAACAAAAGTTCGTATGTAGCGAAACAGGTACGTTAAGAGAGGTAGCCGTGTGTGAAGAAGGGTTAGGTGCAGCAACCAAAATTATTATGGTAAGCCATCACTTCGCACACGCCATGGAGACTGTGTAGTGGCCTTGAAGAAAAATCCCATGAATTATAAGACAAGGAGTTGTCTGTGTGTGGGGATGAGAGCGAGTGAGAGCAGATTAATTCTCATCACCGGCTCTCCCCTGCCTCTTCTTCCTCTCCTCCCCTGAAAATGAAGCTCTCGATCTTCTTCTCCTTCCTCCTCGTCTCCTCCTTCCATCTATCTTCCTCCCAACGCTACAATGCCCTGTTCAACTTCGGCGACTCCATGTCTGACACCGGCAATGTCGTCCTCGCCGGCCTCCCTTATGGCATGACCTACTTCGGCCGCCCCACCGGCCGCTGCTCCGACGGCCGACTCGTCATCGATTTCATCGGTACAACTCCCTCCACCCTTTCCGCATTTTGAGTGTACCGATCTGCTCCCGAGAGCTGCTGCTTCTCAGTCTACCATCTGCTTGTCGCAGCTGAGGGCATCGGGCTGCCGCACCTACATCCCAACACCGCCAAGGACGCGGACTTCCACCAGGGCGCTAACTTCGCCTTCATCGCCGCCACGACCCTCCCGTTCGACTTCTTCCACCAGCGTGGCCTCAGCAAGGGCCTCTGGGTGAACGCTTCCATCCACGAACAGGTGGATCGGTTCGAGAAGCTGCTGCCCTCCATCTGCGGCACGCCTCAAGGTCGCAACGGAGGCCATGTCCTTCTCCCCCAGTTCCATCTGCGCTTCGCCGTCCGATCTTGACATCTGTGGGTGCAGAATGCAGGGACTTCTTGGGCAAATCTCTGCTAGTAGTCGGCGAGTTCGGAGGAAACGACTACAGCACCGGGCTCTTCGCCAGCAGGAACGTATCGGAAGTGAGAACCTTCGTGCCCCCTGTCACCCAAGCCATTGCGGAGGGACTCGAGGTAATTGAACTGCGGATCTAGTAAGAAAAGAATCGCTGGCCATAATACGATGAGGGTTGTTGATGGGGTTCCCTGTCGGCGCAGAGATTGATCGGCCTCGGCGCGGTGGATATCATCGTGCCAGCGCTACTGCCGGTGGGTTGCTTCCCGCTGTACCTGACGCTCTACAACACCTCCGATCCGGAGGACTACGGCCCCAGGACCGGGTGCATGAGGCGGCACAACGCCTTGTCCTGGTACCACAACACGCTGCTCCGCCGTCAGCTCGACCGCCTCCGGCCGAAGTACCCGGCGGTGTCGATCCGGTTCGCCGACTTCTATGCCCAGGTCTTCGATTTCGCCATCAATCCTCTCAAATACGGTTAGTCTGTTCTGCTTCCTCTCGCCCTTACAAGATCATCATTCTTCTCATCATCACACATATCACAGACCCTATGATCATTCTCCTTTGCAATCGTATGATCATAATGATGCATAGTAATCTATTCAGACGTCGAAGAAACCACTGATTAAGATAGTCCAAACGGCCTTAACCGATCGCTCTTAAGTCGTTCGATCAAATGTCTATTCAAAAAAAGGAAAATTATGTACTTCTCAAACAGGGAGGTTAAATAAGCAATACGTGGGTTCGGATTGTTAACGGTAGTGGTACATGACTTAGCCCTGTTATAATATGGTCCACCTAATTAAAGGATCTATGGATCCATTAATAATGTAAATGTACACATTCGAAAGGAATTATGGTTGGATCCCACTGGTCCATATCAATATACGGGCAATGGGAAGGTTCAAATCGATGGCACAATTGTGTCAGATCGGACCCTGCTTTACAAAGGCCCGGTAACCAGGTGGCACGCAGCAGCGTCCACATGCTTCTCTGGCCCGCCCTCCTCTTGCCACCGTCGGTTGGCTGAAGGTCCCAGTGGCCTGTTATTGTTTCATCATGGAACCCCTTTTTATTTTCTACGAGGTGCTACATTCATGATTGGTTGAGTTCAGTAACAAATCATGTCTTTCTCATCCCATTCACGCATACACCCCACAGTATTACATGTGGAAGTGACTGGTGGTGACTCTGCTCTACAGTATTACTTGTTGCGAGCCTCTTCTGTTGATGCATTGGATTGCTAATCCAATAATGGCCTGATAGATTTACATGGCATGAGGCTGTAGAGCAGGCTGATTGAATGACGATCAGAGGTGTAGGTTAACATGTATGCAATCAATTTAGTATTAGATTGATAGATGATGATGATGTGTGCTTTGTTGTTGCGACAACCAAATATATGATGTAGGCTTTCATCATGAAACAGAAAATTATTATATCGAGTTACCATAGGGCTATTGTTAGATTCTGGCATGATCTGTCTCGATAGAATGACCGATCCAACCTGGAACAGCATGTCTCAAGATTGTTTGGTTTACCAAATGCAAATGGATGGATCTTTAACTCTGGAACTTACAGGATTCAAAGATGGAGCCCTAAGAACCTGTTGTGGGGCTCCCGGGTTGCGCAATTACAACTTCAATCTGCACGCCAAGTGCGATCAGAACGGCTCGAGCGTGTGCCCGGATCCGACGACTCACGTGAGCTGGGACGGAATCCATATGACAGAAGCCGCTCACCGCATCATCGCCCAAGGTTGGCTTCACGGCCCCTACGTCGATCCACCCATTGTGAGCTCTAGCAACAATTAAGACCTTGTCATGGCAAACTAATGACCAAAAGAGTTTTACGAGTAGAGTGCATTGTTGTCATTAATTTCCTGCCCCCGTTGTGCTGCGGGGAGAAGAGGTACTGCCTGTGGTTCATCCCATGCTCCGAATTTATTTCTTGTAGTCGAGCTTTCATCTGACACTCGGTTCTTCGTTTATTAGTGGTATAGATTATTTTTGTTCAGAAGAGAGTTGCTTGGTAAAATGGGTTTGTGCTACTCTGGTACTCATTGTGTTCTAAATGGCATCTCTCATTTGTTGATGAAACCTGGACAGCGCCACGTGAGTAGGTCAATTGACATCGCATATGTGGACGGCAGCACCGGATACGCAACACGTGCGTTACATGAACACTCTTTTAACCTTTGGTAATTACTGAATAGTCACGACAGTGATTTTGAAATCACTGCAGCGATCGATACAACGATCATAAATCATGATAAGATTGATCATTAGACGCAAACAAACTTTGCAAGTGCCTGGGTACAGATGTCACACATGCACGTACAGACATGTTACGTGGACTTGGCATTTGCTGGTCAAATACGTATCTTAATGCAGGCCATCAATGCATGAATAGTTTGGCTTTCCTTTCCGTGCATATGGATCATCAGCTTCCATGTGTAAGTTCGTTCTCCCGAAGTTAAATCTTCATGTGTCTGTCCCGCTTACTCCATCCAGCATTTCTACATTTAAGCAGTTCTGAATTAGACTCTTCTAAAATGAAGAAAAGAACTACAAATGCTTAGTGCTTTTGTTTGGGCTATTAAGATGTTTGTCTGGTTCTTAATACTGATATATCTACGCAGCATTAGGATGATGTTGGTTATAACAATGATCAAAATTTCCTAGTCATTATTGATTAATAATCTTAAGGCCAGAGGAGAAAATAAATTGATTATGGTAAAACATTATTTTATTTGATGTGCATAGGCTACATAACAAGTCTGCATTGGCAGTACTTATGCAACCTCGTTCACCAGCATTAGTCCTCCATGTCTTTCCAGCCATTAACTAATACTCGTGTTTACTGAAAAACCAGCTGCAACTACGAAGACGCCACCTTCACATGCATGCAACAGCTGCAGCGCAAGGAGACAGTGAAGAACAATGCGACAAGGTAGTGGTTTAAAAGGCAGTGCAGCACGGCGGACGGTGGGAGAACACATGGCTTTGCGTTCCACACCTCCAACAATGAGCTTTTCCACAATGTTCCTCGTCCTCTTCTGGCTCTTCCCTTCTTCCCAGTCTCTGCACTACGACGCAATCTTCAGCTTCGGCGACTCTCTCTCCGACACCGGCAACGTCCAGGTCGCCGGCCTGCCCTACGGCATGACCTTCTTCGGCCGCCCCACCGGCCGCTGCTCCAATGGCCGCCTGGTCATCGACTTCATTGGTACGGAGGAGACACACACACACACTCTCTCTCTCTCTCTCTACCCTCTTGTAAATTAGCTTGCCAACTTCACGATGACTTGCGTTTGTGTTATTGTAATTATACAGCTGAGGCAGTGGGGCTGCCATTGCTTCCGGCGTCGTCGACGACGAAGGGCAACAGCTTCCGGCAAGGTGCCAATTTCGCCTACACGGCCGCCACGGCCCTCGATTTCGACTTCTTCAACCGCCGAGGACTAGGAGGCAAACTCTGGGTCAATGCCTCCTTGAGCAGCCAGATCGGGTGGTTCGAGAAGACGATGCCTTCACTCTGCAGTTCAACCTCAGGTGGTAATATCCATCCACAGGTTTTCTCACCGCTTCCATCTTCGTGCAGCTCCGTACGTCTCCGATGTTGAACTCTATGAAACCGCTTGCAGCTTGCAAGAACTACTTCGGCAGGTCCCTTTTCGTGGTGGGGGAGTTTGGAGGCAATGACTACAACACAGCAATCTTCGCCGGCAGAAGCATGGCAGAAGTGAATTCCTACGTGCCCATAGTCATCCGTGCCATTAGATTGGGTGTCGAGGTACACATACGATGTAGATCATTTCACACCTTAGCAATCAAGTAGCTGTCTGTGTTGTTGATCATGTCACTACGCGCAGAGATTGGTTGGCCATGGTGCAGTGGATATACTGGTACCAGGGATGCTACCAATTGGATGCTTTCCCGTTTACTTAACATTGTATGGTAGCTCTAACAAAAATGACTACACTGGCATTGGATGCCTGAGGAAGTACAACGATTTGGCGATGCACCACAATGCGCTTCTCCGACGAGCGATCTATGGGCTTCAGAGAAAGCATTCTGGGACGAGGATCAGATATGCTGATTACTATAACCCGGCCCTTGGGTTTGCAGCTGATCCAGCAAAATATGGTGAGTTTTCCTTCGACTGCTCAGTGCTGCGATTCATCCTGTTTGATGATCGTATCGCTCAACATTAGGCTTCAGATTATTTTTTCTTATGCTGCACAGTGGTGATTCGGAGTTCGTGTCATCGGAACGTTAGCAGACATAATATATATAGCTTCTTCTTGGCTGCCTGTTCTATGCATGTTTCGTAAATTCAATTAGGCAGACCTCTGAGAAACTAACTGCGCTTCTTGTCTAGGTTGGAAAGGCATCACTTCTTTTCTTCTGCCTAAGTTCTCTGATTCTATTTCCTTCTAATCTAAAGCACTAATTTTAGGGAAGTGAATGGTTGCATGATCATATTTCCGTTGTTGAGGAAAAAGACTTATCATCATCATCATGTATCTCGTTGCTCAGCAATGATTAGCTGCCTAATCAAAAAAGGAGACTCTCATGATGGATGCCTTCTGGTGGAAAGTTTGTTGCTGGAAGAGGACAGTATGAATAGTTTTAGAACCAGAAGTCAACGCCAAAAAGAGGAAGGAGCTAAACGTTAGAATTGATTCAGAGTAGTTATCTATATAGTTATCGTGTTCTAGGTAGTTTTAGATATATTTTAAGAAGTGACCTATGATCTAGAAGTTATAGGATAGTTCCTACAACTATGTCAATCATGAGTGATATGGTGGCGTAAGGTAGTTACCACTAGGTCCTATAAATAGGACCATAGTTCATGAAGTAAGATAGAAACAGAATACACTTGGAATATCTTGTAGTGTTCTATATTAATCCTCTCGTTTAAATACTACATCGGTTTTCTTGATCAAAATGATTTTTTTTAATTGCATAGTACTATTCTATTTTTATCATTTCCTTGCTCCTTCATCCCAACATTTGTGGTATCAGAGTTAAGTTTCAATTTGAACTAGGCATTATGACATTCACTGGTAATTCCATGTCTCAACCCCTTATTCCTATCTTTTCGGGTAAATACTATGAATTTTGGAGTATCAAGATTAAGACTCTATTCAAGTCTCAAGATCTTTGGAACTTAATAGAGAATGTATATGCAGATCTAGATGAAGAAATTAAGCTAAGGGAGAATAGAAAGAATGACTCAAAGGCATTGTTCTTCATTCAACAAGCTGTACATGACACAATCTTCTCAAGAATTGCAGCAGTGAGAACCTCAAAGCAAGCTTGGTTGATACTTCAAAATGAATTTCAAGGCTCATCGTGAGTTTGAAATTTTGTTCATGAAAAGTAATAAATCGATACAAGATTTTTTTTTTCGAGTGACTGAAATTGTTAATCAAATAAAATCTTATGATGAACATATTCCTTATCATATAATTATTGTAAAAGTTTAGAAAAGTTGAACTCTGAAATTTGATCATGTTGTTACCACAATCGAGGAGTCAAAAGATTTATTTAGATTTTTATTTGATAAACTAATAGGGTCCTTGCAAGCACATGAAGCAAGGTTGAATAGGCCACTTGAAAAAGGTGAAGAGAAAGCATTTCAGGTTAAGGGAGAGTCTTCTACTTCAAAAGAAGATAAAAAATCAACAGAAAAAAGATGTGACAAAGGAGGATTTCATGGTAGAGGAAATGAAAGAGGAGGAGGAAGAAGACACTTTGATTGACATGATGAACAAAAACAATCAAATTATGATAAAAAAATTACAAGAGTGGAATTCAATATCACTATTGTAAAAAATTTGGTACATAGAGAAAAGCAAGCAAGTTATGTGGAGGAAAATAAAGAAAATGATAAGTTATTTATGATTCATTCATAAATTAATGATATTTCAAATGATATTTGATCTTTAGATAGTGGATGTTCTAATCATATGTCAGGCATAAGATTAATATTTAAAGATATTGATGAAACTCATAAGTTGAAAGTTAGACTTGGAGATAACAAGCAAATCCAAGTAGGAAGATAAAATACCTTGATAATATTTTCTTTGTTCCTAATTTATCACTTAAGTATTGGTCAATTGATAGATGATGGATATTCAATTATATTTGATGATGGTTCATGTACTATTAAAGATAAAAAAATCTGGTTTGATTACGGTAAATGTTTGCATAACGCAAAACAAAATGTTTTCACTTGATGTTTCAAATATTGAAAAGCATACTCTTATCACAACTCAAAATAATGAGTCTAATTTATGATATTTAAGATATGATCATCTTAATATTAAGAGTTTAAGGTTGTTAAATAAAAATGGAGTGGTTTTCAGATTGCCCAAGATTAATACACTTAATGTTTGTGAAAGTTACATTTATAGCAAATAAAGTAAAAAAATTATTTCTTATTGGAAAAGCATGGAGAGCGTATAATTATCTTGAATTAATTCATGTTGATTTATGTAAACTTATGAATACAAAATTATTTGGTAAAAATTAATATTTTTTATTGTTTATTGATGATTATAGTTGCATGAGTTGGGTATTTTTTTGAAACTGAAATCTGAAATATTTGATATTTTTTAAAAATTCAAGGCACTTGTAGAAAGGCAAAGTGGTAGATACATAAAGACATTTCGGACAAATAGAGGTGATGAATTTTTATCTAATGAGTTTAATTCTTTTTGTGAAGAAAATGGTGTTCGTAGAGAATTGACAGCACCATATACACCAGAGCAAAATGGTGTAGCTGAACATAAGAATCGAACTGTCGTTGAAATTATAAAAAATTTGCTTAAAGGAAAACAACTTCCAAATCACTTTCAGGCAGAAGCAGTTGTAACAATAGTTCATTTATTGAATATTTCACTAACAAAGGCTGTTATGAATCAAACTCCTTTTGAGGCTTGGTATGATATGAAATCAAGTGTCAGCCATCTAAGAATTTTTGGTTGTATTGTTTATGCTTTGCTGAATTCATAAATAATCACAAGTTTGATGAAAAATCTAAAAAAGGTATCTTAATTGGTTATTCTTTACAATTCAAAGCATATCGATTATATGATCCTATTAGTGGTAAAGTTATTATTAACAGAAATATTATGTTTGATGAAAGGGCAAGTTAGAATTGGGAGACAAATAAAGATGGAACACAAATTCAGATTCCAGTGGAACTAAACACTTCGCAGAATCAAATGACAGATCCTGCTCCAACAAGTTCATCGTCAACCTCACCCAGTAGTAGTTCAAATTATGATTCCTCATATCAAACCTCTCTAGGAAATTTCAGATCACTAACAGAAATTTATGACTCAACATTTGCTTTGTTTATTCCAGATCCTATAACTTTTGAGGAAGTAGTTGAAAAAGAGGAATGACGAAAAGTAATGAAGGAGGAAATCAAGTCAATTGAGAAAATGAAACTTGGGAGCTAATGAATCTACCAAAAGAAAAGAAAGCTATTGGATTAAAATAGGTGTTCATAACAAAGTTTAATGTAGATTGAAGTATCAAAAAGCATAAGGCTCGGCTTGTAGCAAAAGGATATTCACAATAACAAGGTATTGATTTTGATGATATATTTTCTCTAGTTGCTAGATTCGAAACCATGAGAGCTTTATTGGCTTTAGCTACTCACTTAAGTTGGCTTGTTTATCAATTTGATGTAAAATTTATGTTTTTAAATGGAGATTTACACGAAGAGATTTTTGTTACTCAACCTCAAGATTTTTTAATTAAAGGATATGAAGAAAAAGTGTATAAGCTAAAAAAAGCCCTCTATGGGCTTAAATAAGCTCTAAGGGTATGGTATTGTAAAATTGATTATTATTTTCATCAAAATAAATTTAAGAAGAGTAATAATGATAACATAATATTCTAATGGCTTGCCTTTATGTTGATGATATTATATATATAGTTCATCTAACTCTTTTGAGGTAGAATTTAAAAAATGCATGATGAATAAATTTGAAATATTAGATCTAGACCAACTGCACTATTTTCATAAGTTGGAAGTGAAGTAAGGATCAGATTAAAATTCTATTTCATAAAGAAAGTATACAATAGGTCTATTCAAAAAATCTAACATGATTAATTGCAAAGCTACAGCATGAATGAGAAATTGAAACTTGAAGATGGTACATGTCTGACAAATGCAAGATACTACATAAGTTTGGTTGGAGGTTTAATTTATCTAACTTATACGCGATCAGATATTACATTCTCTGTTGGTGTAGTATCCAGGTTTATGCACAACCCAAGCAAACATCATCTCGGAGTTATTAAAAGAATTATATGTTATATTATTGGAACTACATATTATGGTATTTGGTATTCTCATAATTTTAAATATAAATTATTTAGTTTCATTGATAGTGATTGGGCAAGAGCTTTAGATGATAGAAAGAGTACTTCAGATAATATTTTTAGCCTCGGATCAAGAGCTATATCTTGGAGTTCAAAAAAGCAAGCAACAGTTTCGTTATCGACATTGGAAGCTGAATATGTAACCGTAACATCAGCAGCTTGTCAAGCAATATGGCTTAGAAGACTTCTTGGAAATCTTCATCAAGAACAAAAAGAAGTAATACAAATATTTTATGACAACAAAGCCACAATTACAATAACTAAGAATCAAACATTTCATAAAAGAACGAAGCATATAAAGATACGCTATCATTTCATTTGGGATCTTGTAGCAAGTGGAGCCATAGCAATGAAGTATTATGGAACGAATGAACAAGTTACGAACATTCTCATCAAGTCACTTCCAATTCAAAAGCATTTTTATTTCATGTCGTAAATTAGTGTATATAACTATAAATCAAGGGGGGAGTATTGAGAATTGATTCATAGTAGTTATCTAGGTAGTTATCATGTTCTAAGTAGTTTTAAGTATATTTCAAGAATGACCCATGATCTAGAAGTTATAAGGTAGTTCCTACAACTATCTCATGGGTAACATGGTGGAGTGAGATAGTTATCACTAGGTCCTATAAATAAAATCATAGTTTATGAAACAAGATAGAAGAAGAATATACTTGAAAATATGTTGTAAGTGTTGTATATCAATTCTCTTGTTTAAATACTATATCAATTTTTTTGATCAAAATAATTTTTTTAAATTGGATCATATTATTCTATTTTTATTATTTCCTTGCTCCTTTTATCCCCAACAGCAAGTTGATCATCGGTCTCTGTGGTGGGCCAAATATGCAAGTGCCTGGTTTCTTCTTGAACTTTCCATGGATATGATCCTGACGTGTGCGGTAGGAGATAGAGATCCAATTACCAAGAATTATTATTATTTTTTGAGTTTATTTTTCACTTCTTGACTAAAAGTGTGTTCAGAGGGGAAAACAAAATCAATTTTAAGCGGACATTGTTTCTACGGTCTTTGTGATCTAAACCATTCTTCATGTGCTGATTGCATTCTCCATCTGTCTTCTTCCTTTTACAGGATTCACTGGTGGAGCTCTGAAGGCGTGCTGTGGGGCAACCGGAAGTGGGGAATACAACGTCAATCCGCACAAGGTGTGTGCTCAGCCAGGCTCGAGCGTGTGCGGGGATCCCACGACTCATGTGAGCTGGGATGGCAGTCATCTGACTGAAGCTGCGTATCTCCTCATCGCCCGTGGTTGGCTCGGAGGTCCCGACGCCAAACCTTCCATCCTGTGACACCACCATGAGCTGAGGTTAGAAGTTGTATGAGCCAACCAAAGAACCTTATGAACCTACACTGCCACAATAAGTGCTGCTACTGTTACATCCCTCATGCCAATAAGGTCGAGTTGGTTTTAGGACAGTGTTCGTCTCTTTTTGTGTCAGCTGACATGCGAATGTGCTTTCTATTTTTCTTGTGCTGTGGTGACCGGATGATAGTGTGTGACTACCACACATGCATGATATTAGAACAATCTGAACTGGGATCACATTACACCATCCTCTCCCCGTCAAGGGAAATAGTAGCTAGAGCATAATCCGAGGCAGCTGTTTGATTTGTCCCACGATACAATACAGAGCACAAAAGAGAGCCCAAGACGACCCAGTCCTTATAAAAGGAACTCCCTCCTCGAGCACAGAAGCTCGAGTGCTGCCCCTCTTCCTCTGCCTCCTCTGGCTCTAACCATGAAGCAGCTCCCACTTCTCATCTTCCTTCTCCCTCCCCTCTTCCTCCTTTCCTGCTCTCAACGGTACAACGCCATCTTTAGCTTCGGGGACTCCCTCTCTGACACCGGCAACGTCGTCATTGCCGGCCTCCCTTATGGCATGACATTCTTCGGCCGTGCCACCGGTCGCTGCTCCAATGGACGCTTGGTCATTGATTTCATCGGTACATCCCTTCCACCCCCCCCCGGACTAATGCTAAATGTCACGATAGACTAATAACAACAGCGTGTGTTGTTGTTGCATCATGCAGCCGAGGCCACCGGACTGCCGTTGCTTCCACCCTCCACAGCGAAGGGCCAAAGCTTCGCTCAAGGCGCCAATTTCGCTTGCACCGCGGCCACCACACTCGACTTCGACTTCTTCTACCATAGGAACCTCAGCGGCGGTTTATGGGTCAATGCTTCTTTGAGCCAGCAGATCGGGTGGTTCGAGCAAATGCTGCCTTCTCTGTGCGGCCAAACACGAGGTGGCAACTGACGCATTTTGTTGCCCGGTTCATCGTCGATCTCTCTCCATCAGAAATTTGTCTGACCATGCGAAATTGGATGCAGAATGCAACGACTACTTGGGTACGTCGCTCTTCGTCGTCGGCGAGTTCGGAGGGAACGACTACACCACCCCCATATTCGCCGGCAGGAGCATGTGGGAGGTGTACACCTTCGTTCCCCGAGTCGTGCAGGCCATAGCGCACGGCGTCGAGGTCTGTAGGTGAACGTAGCTCTGTAGCTTGACCGCTGCATCCTTTGGTCGTCGGAATCAAACATGTGTTTGTTGTGTTCTTGTCTGTCTCAGAGATTAATCGGGCATGGGGCGGTGGATCTTGTTGTGCCGGGGATGCTACCGATTGGGTGCTTTCCAGTGTACCTGACACTGTATGCAACCTCAAATCCGAGCGACTACAGCAGCATTGGATGCTTGAGGAAGTTCAACGACTTGACATCCTACCACAATTCATTGCTTCAGGCAGCATTATACCAACTGCAGATCAAGTATCCCTCCACCAGGATCAGATACGGCAACTATTATACTCCTGCCATTCAATATGTTGCCTATCCAAGCAAATATGGTCAGCTTTCCTCCATCTTCATCCATAATTTTGTCCTGAGATGTTACACATTCTTTTAGTTCAGCTCTGTTTTTTTCTATTACATGTTTGATGAAGATGAACCATATTTCCCAACAAAAAGAAAGTTCGTGGCTAGCTATGATCTTTAGCAATAATAGCTTTACATGACAGTTACCTATACAGAATCATCAAAGATGGATCAGACACAGATGCGTGTTTGCCACTTTGATATGTATGATAAGGTTCGATGAACACGGATAGAAGTTATGCAGTGACATCACAAACCAAATTCGATGGCCACTTCCAGACGAGTCTTGGTTGAAACTGACAACCAAATCACTACTCCCGATGATGTGAGGATCACTTAGACTGTGGCCGTCGATGCTGCTAATGGAATGAGTTTTCACGTCTCTCTCATACCCAACTAAATACATGGCTCAAAAATGTCACTGTAACCGAGGTGATGCAATGCACTTCCAGAATCGCACCCACTGCTTTCCTGCATCCACGATGATGCTGATGCCCATCACATCGATCGCCCGCCTTAATTCTTCTAATCTAACGTACGGTGGTTTCCGTTTCAGATTTCAGAGACTAAAGATGTCTTTTTTGCTGCACGCGTCTTGCTCGGCAGGATTCAGCGGTGGAGGTCTGAAGGCGTGCTGTGGAGCAGCAGGCAGTGGGAAATACAACGTCAACCTCAAAGCCATGTGCGCTAAAGCAGGCTCCAGCGTCTGCAGTGATCCTGATACCTACGTGAGTTGGGATGGCATTCACCTCACCGAAGCTGCCTATCGACTCATAGCCGATGGCTGGTTGAATGGCCCTTATGCAAACCCTCCCATCGTGAGCTAGGACGGCGCATGGCCCTCCTGCATCCCCGCTACTGCAACCAGCTTCCGTTACATTCTACTCTGTGGTGGTCAGCCGAATACTGGCGTTGCATGATGTGGTAATCAATAATCACTCTTCCTGTGGAGAAGAGAGTGCTGCTGTGCGGACGATTAATTAGTCAACTGTTAATGCTACGATCGATACTCGCCTGCGCTGGAAGTTCTATCTCACGCATACCATACTCCCTTCCTCGAGTGATTGTGTAAAGCAAAGATGGGCTCTCCATGTCCCTCTTCCTCGAACGTACGACATCTTCTTCATGCGCGTCATCATCCTTGAGCTCCAAGCAAAGTGCACCGCTCCGAATCACGGGACCTCATCACCACCTGCATCTCTCACTGGTGCCTTCTTCATCATTAACTATTAACGCCCGCTTTACCTACTCCGTTTCTGCGGCAGGAAACCAAAGAAGCAAGGAAAGGGCGGATAAAGAGACACCATACATGGAACGGTGTGGCCAGGTCCGGTGCCCACTGTGATCGCCATTAAAATCTGCACTGCACCCATGCCGTGGCCTTTGAGCTTACGTTACGTCCTGCCTGTGACACGAAGGCCCAGCCCAAAGAACGTGCACCCGGTTCGTCTTAAAACACATTAGAAAAAAGAAGAAACAAATATGAAAATATATAAATTGCGTGTAAATTGCAAGAAAAAAAATATATAAACCCATTACATAATAAATTCGTCGATTCAGTAAAATGTTGGGAGCGATCATTTCCTCTGGAATAATTTATTTTCTCTTTTTTTTTTAAATAAAATAAAAATAAAAATCGAAAGACCAACATTTTGGAAGGATGAGCGTGAATCGAAAGAATGATTGCAATCATTCGCTCGAGACCACCACCTTTGTACGATTTCACTTCTGGATCAATCAAATCGAAAAGCTGGAACATGGCCACCCTCTCCACTGCCACCGCACGTGAGGATCGTCGACTCACCAGTCCCTAAATGGTCGTCAAGCTGCGAAGGCGGTGTCTGCTGGCTTAGCGCTCTATCCCATCCACGCACCTTTCTGAAAGGGAAAGGGCAATCAATGGCAATGGCAGGAGGCTAATATGAACCATATTTATCGTGGTTGAAGGAAGCTCGCAGACACCTGAGTCGGATTCCCCTCCCCTCTTTCGGCTTACACGGAGCCTCCTGCCATTGCCGCGGCCACCGCCCACTTTTCACTGCTTTTAAGATCTGTGCCGCTCTGCTGTTAGTGCAGACTCAGAGCGCCCCCAACACACCCACCGTTCCAACCCCTCCCGTCCCCATCCCCCCCCAAGCGAAGGCACATACGAGACGCATACATATGCAACACACAATACACGATGAAGAAAGGTTTCCAAGTCATTAAAGACACCGAAAGATTGCCAATTGACCACATCCTGGTGTCAGCGTAAACCTGTGGATCTCGTTAACCCACAGCGAGGAGAAGAGACAACCGAACGCCAAACTCTTCCCACCTTCCTCTTTCTTTAATCCTATCCCATTCATTGTATGCTCAATTAAACCAAACACGGCAGGAGCAGAAGAGAGAAAGTGCGCACTTGCTCGCCACCATTACACACTTCCCACCCAGCACTGCTTTGAGCAATGCAAGGCTTAGTTTAGAGTGCAAGAGAAAGCTCAGAGATCGAGAGAGAGAGGCGAGAGCTCATCACGAAGGATGGTCGCGGGCAAGGTGAAGGCCGCCATGGGGTTCCAACGCAGCCCGGCCGCGCCCAAGGCGGACGCGCCTCGCCGTTCATCCTCCTCCCAGGCCTCACACCACCAGACTCCGCCGCATTCATCCTCTAAAGACACGGCCGCAGCCGCCTTCGCCCGGTCCTTCGGCGTCTACTTCCCCCGCGCGTCCGCCCAGGTACGGCCCCGCTCGCCCAACGTCGCCGAGCTGCTCCGCCTGGTAGAGGAGCTCCAGGAGAAGGAGTCCCTGCTCCGCGTCCAGCTCCTGGAGCAGAAGCTTCTCAAGGAGACCGTCGCCATCGTCCCCTTCCTCGAGAAGGAGATCGCGACCAAGAGCGACGAGCTCGCGCGGGCCGGCGACCGGATAGAGCGCCTGGAGGCGGAGAACCGAGCGCTGCGGGACGAAGTCGAGGGCTTGAGCTCTAAGATACGGGTCGGCGAAGAGGAAGGCCAGCGCAGCGAGAGGAGGATAAGGGAGCTCGAGACAGAGTTGGACGAGCTGAGGAAGGCGTTGTCCGAGCAGGGCAATGGCGACTGGACGCAGTTTTGCGCCGGGCCGGTGAAGGTCGACGAGTGCTTGTCAGCCCAGAGGTTCCAAGGGCTCATCGACGCCTCCGCGAGATCGAATCTCCTCAAAAGCTTGCTAAAACACCCCAAATCCGCCGACATTGGTCCTGATCAAGAATTCCAAAAGCCGGAGTGCAGATTTCCAAAAGCGGAAGTAGGGAAGGCCGAAGGGGAGCATCAACAGCCACGCAACGGAGAAAAAGAAGAGTTCTTGGAACCCCGAGCTCCTAGAGTTCCGAAGCCACCTCCCATGCCGTCGGCCTGGTCTTTGTCGTCGTACTCGTCCTCGTCATCGGAGACCGCGTCCGCCGTTGCGACGAGAAAAAGCCCAAAATTATCGTGCCTTCCGCCGATTCCGCCGCCGGCTCCATTGGCGGTGCCCGCTCCATCAAGCGGAGCGCGGCCTCCTCCGCCTCCACCGCCGCCCCCGCCGATGGGGTCCAGGTCGGCGGCGGGAAGCGTGCGGCGAGTGCCGGAGGTGGTGGAGTTTTACCACTCCCTGATGCGGCGGGAGACCAAGAGGGAGTCCTGCGGTGGAATGCAGGACGCGCCCCCAGCCGCCGCTGCGAACCCCCGCGACATGATCGGGGAGATCGAAAACCGCTCCGCCCACCTCCTCGCCGTAAGTCTTCTTCTCTCCCTCCAATTTCGCCGCCGCCGCCGCCTGTGTACTCCAAATTGCCGAGGTCCTATGACCTCCTTCGATCGACGCATTTGCCCCCTCTCAGCCTGCCGTCGATGCGTATCGTGTTCTGACGTGGCAGGAACCGATCGACGCCTCTTAATTAACTCTTTTGTTGTCACTTAAAGAAACACCGGATCCGAATGAGAAGGATTACTTTGTTCTTAATCGCTTCATTAATGGCAGATAAAGACAGACGTGGAGACGCAGGGCGACTTCATTAGATTCTTAATAAAGGAGGTGGAGCAGGCGGCCTTCGCCGGCATCCAAGACGTGGTCGCCTTCGTCAAGTGGCTCGACGAGGAGCTCTCCATCCTGGTACTCTTCTTTAGATCTCAATCTCTCTTTCTTTCGTAGCCAATCCTTGGGGCTGTACGTTTATTGGGATATCGGGTGATGGGCGTCGCAGGTGGACGAGAGAGCGGTGCTGAAGCACTTCGAATGGCCGGAACACAAGGCGGACGCCATGCGCGAGGCGGCCTTCGGCTACTGCGATCTCAAGAAGTTGGAATCGGAGGCGTCGTCGTTCCGCGACGACCCTCGCCAGCCCTGCGCTTCCGCTCTCAAGAAGATGCAGTCGCTGCTGGACAAGTATTCATCATCTTTTCTCCCCCGTTTGTAAGTTGGGTGGTATCTGATGGTGTCACTGTGGGCTGGTGATACAGATTGGAGCATAGGGTATACGAGCTGTCGCGCGTGCGAGAGTGTGCGACTAAGCGGTACAAGGCGTTTGGTATTCCCTGCGAATGGATGATGGAGAGCGGAGACGTCAGCCAGGTACCTCACCGGCCTTCTTGTTCTTTTCTTTCATCCTTGTGGTCCGGCGTGGGATGTCATCGCCTGGTGACAAAGGACAAACTTAGATCAGCGGTGGGCCAATTGGCCAAAGCAAAAGCAGCAGCAGCGGCAGCTCTCGATCCACGTGAGCGCGGGCTCACGTGAATCGAGATGGTAGAGTCCATTATCACCTTGGAGCTAGCTATTTAACCCGGAAATCATAGAACAATGGTCACGTGAATGGGAATAGGAGAGTCCATCGTTAACCTTGGAGCTATTTAACTGGAAGGAAATCATAGAACAATAATAATGATGAACAACCTGGTTCGTACGCTCACGTTACCGCGGCAACCATCATGGATGGGGCCATCGCCCATCGGGAGAGGACACACACTGATTGCACTGTAGAACACCGTGTTTTTATTCCTATCGGTGCTTGCAAACGCTAAGATGGTTGACAGTAAGGCGCTTGTACTCGTCTTCTCAGGCCATCGTTGTTCTTCTTTTGTCGTAAAGCCATGCCTTGGCGCCGTTCTTAGTTTGATGTATTTGGCCCATGTGACCTTCATTAGCATTTCATTATCTTGTACTTGTGCACCCTGTCATCACGCTTAAGGTCGATAGTAGCTGAGTGGGAGCTGATGTTTGGTGTCGACAGCGAATCTATTTTGTTCTCTCCTTGAGCGAGCATGTTGTTCATTTAACTATGGAAGCTTGTGTCGCAGGAGAGTCGGCTTAGAGTTTTGGTACCTCATCTTTTCTGTTAATGAAGTACATAACACTCGTGTCATGTATCATCTTTACAGGAAAGAATTGAACTAAGTCGTGTGTCAACTAAAGCATTTTGTTCCCATTCGTTTGTACTCGATGCGAAGAGGTGATTGATTAGACACGAGAAATACTTGTGCAGATCAAGCTGGCATCGGTGAAGTTGGGGATGAAGTACATGAAAAGGGTTTGTTCTGAACTGGAGATGATGGCAGGAAGCCCCGAAGAAGAAGAGATGATGCTTCAGGGTGTCAGATTTGCCTTCAGAGTCCACCAGGTACTTGCTGCTGTCGTACGTTACATTAGATTAGCATGTACGACACCTTTAACTCGTTGTCATCACCAGTTTGCCGGAGGTTTTGACGTCGAAACTATGCGAGCCTTCCTGGAGCTGAGGGACAAAGCACGGTGCCACCGCCTCCGGAGCAAAAGTCACAGCCAGCAGAAGCTCTATTGCAGGTCGACGTCTTGCCAGCCGCCTACTTCCGTAAAGGTAGCGTAAACCCGTTCGATTCATATGAATCGACCATTTTATTTAATGACCCACCGGACGCAGCACACGAAAGGCTAAGAAGACTAATCGATTCGACTTGTAGCATGGGTTGGTCATAGCTTGTCTTGAACGTTAAGATCTGTATTGGTTTGCTGTATCTAATTTTTTGTCTTTAATTGTTTATCTCCGTCCTTCTCATTTGGCTGATAATTAAATATTTTACATTTCATTAAGAAAAAAAGATCGAATCCAATCTCCTATTTGCATCGATGTAAATACCAGACAATGTAAATAGAACACAGCTTATGCAACCACCTCTACGTGATGAAAGCTCATGACTTTGTGGTGGTCTTTAGAACGAACAAGAAGCTTCCTTTCCAACAAAAATTCCTGGATCAAAGCATGCGTTTCGACAAATTTTACAGTCATCAGGATTTTATTGATATACCGGCATGATGAAACGCGTTATTACTTCATCCGTACCGACCATAACAAGAGAACAAAGATCAAGCTGACCGGTGCAGTGACCTTCACGGAGAAGCTAATTCTACAGCAGCTCCCAATCAGACTCCAATGAATCGTGAACAGAAGACAAATTTGGATTCTTTAATAGCTCATTTCCCTGTCTGTCTCGCTCTCTGCCGACGACATCGCAGTATGAATTTTTCACCTTATGGCCCTTGAACTGCCGTAATTTTGTGATAAGCGAGGCACCAAGTTTTTTCTGCGAGATAACAAGCAACATATGATAGTACGATGCTTATAACAAAAAAAACAGTTCAGTGCAGATTAGAACACAAAATAATACTCTGAAGAAATAGGGTGCAAGTAACATGCCTTAGCGTACTAAATTATTGTCCACAAAACCCAACTTGTGTGCAGGAATAGACTGATAGGAGACAAATGATTTTCACTATTTAATTTTTTTCAAAAAAAGAAACATGGTTGAAAACGTAAAATTCTGTCTCAGAAATTATGGTTCCGAGACAATCCAATTTGGTATTTTAATTCTTCAGGGCAATTTTCACATTTCAGACGTTTCTCGATAACTGTAAGAACAGTACAGGATAAGAAAAGGAGAATTTGTGGGAGAAATAGGTAACTCCAGCATTTCCGTATACGACAATAGGGATTTGAAGGAGTATGCTATATACATATGTATATATACCTTGTATGATGCCCTTGATTTCTGATATGAGATCATGGCCTGTTCATAATCTTCATTGTCCTCCCAGTTATCATTAATATCCAGATCCTGAGATACTTCCATTGGTTCTGCTTTCGCGTCAATAACATCATCATCGTTGAATTTGTCATCCCCACTAAGGCAAACTGATAAATCTCAAGAAACAACATAAAAACAAACATAAGATTTTAGATTAGGATGAGATATTAAGTTTTTCATCCTGCATGTCTTCTTTGAACTGAGTTCTATGTAAAGTCAATTGATGATCTATCTACCTATGTAGCAAATGACTGAACAATTGGTTAGACAGGTACAATCAGATGAGGTCAAAATTGGAAAATAAATGAATAACAACAAGAAAGACTTTCTGATACGATAACAATTTGTTTAAAAAATATATGACAAAATATTGCCAGAGAAAGATGGACATTTTAACAAAGAAAGTGATCCAGAAAAGGTAGAACGACTAGATTTTGAACAATAAGAAAACAAATTACTTGTTCTGGATTAGGTCACTGATTTGTACCAGTCCATCCAGAATAATTTCAAGATTCTATCAAGCAATAAGATTCATATGCTACTCAAGGTAGATGTATCGCGGAGCAATGATTAGAAAGGTACATAACTACCATGACTTCAAATGAGTATCATTGGTCCCAGTGGGCGGTCATTTAAGACTGGCATGTCAGAAGAATACATGTATCTAAAATTTACAAAAATACTGTGATAAGTGATGTATCACAAAAATCATAAATATCTTCAGCTGAGGAAAATGCACAGGCCATGTGTCTTGAAGAGATGTGCCACATCATGACGGAGGCTTGAAAGCCGTGATTGCAATAGTTTGTTGCAATTGATCATACAGAATGGTATGTTAAGCTCGACCACCTTTTTTTTTATGTGTTAATATCCTTCAGATGCAACAAAGTTCAGAAGAGATGGTCCTAAGTGTCCTTGAAAGTATGACCCGCACCGCAACAAAATTTGACCTTTATTCTTAACGAACAAGGAGGCTAGCGGCAATTTTTCATATATGTTATGAGCCACAAATAACTGATTTGTGAAGTGCTGATCTCGCATGTCAGATATAAAAAACTGCTAACTTTTGCTTGCTGTTGTGAATAGTTTTCTTAGGACAAGAATCATAGTCATCATACAGACAAAAGGAAAACAAGTTGATGTTCTCAATCTTTGTAAGAAATTTGAACGTATACCTTCAGTTTCTCGCAGAGAAGCCCGTGAATTGTCTTGTTTAATTTGCAGCTCATGTTCATTTACAAGGCACCCTCTAGGAGAGATGAATTCTTGTGATGTATGGATACCTCTCGCAGCATCTGCCAGAAAATAACATAGATGAATTGTTGCTGCGCTGAACCAGCAATCATAGAAAAGTCACACAATATAGCAGCACATACCACATGTTTCAGTAGGCGGTCTATCTTCAACAGATCTACTTTCACAAGGTTCCAATTGAAGGCTTTCATCTACTAAAGGACATATTTTTGGAAGGCCAGAAAGAGATGCAACAGAAGGTAAGAAGTTTTCAGGATTTCCATCTAACACGTCTGAGCAATTAGCTGCTTTGGTCGGAAGAGTTTCCTCCTGGCATTCATCAAACTCATTGTTGTAACTTGAGTCTTGGTTCAGATCAGAGGGTGCGATCAGACTTGAATTTACCACAGATGAAGAATTTGGCTCCCATTTAACACAAATAGATACATTGTCATCCGAAAAGGATACATCGAGTTCTTCCTTTAAAACTCCATCTATCTTACTGGCTATATCACCATCTAATGAATTTTTTGTATCAAGTCCTTCGGCACAATCACCAGCAGGATCCAGCCAATCACCCACAACCTCATCAATTATATCTCTAAATTGTTTACCAACCACATCAACATACTTGCGTGGGATCTGTCCAAAACAGTTTTTTATTTGTTATGAAAAGCAAATAAATGGTGCATAAGAGAACTTCAATTGCACAGATTAAATGCACACAATGTTAACTATGACTTCACAGAAATCAAAAGCATGTATTTTTATTGAAAACTTCAATAACACAAACCTGTACCAAATCATTACTCTTGTATGCTTTCTCAAATGTTTGGCATACGTTGTCCCAGGATAGTCCTTCAAATGTAAAATCCATGCCTCAATCATTAGCAACCTGAGAGATAAAGAGGATCAACAAACTATGAATCCACATCCTTTTACGTGTACACTAAGTAAGATATTGTTTGACTTGATATCTACTCCATTTTTCACATAAAATTTGTGATTAGCTAACAACATCGAACATATCGACAAAGACAAGAAACATAGACGCTAAGTGAAATCAGGGTTTTTTTTTTTTTTTGCTGTTTACGATGCAGTTCTACTACAATAAACTATAAACAGAAAATTGCAACATAAAATCAACATCGAAGAATCACTCATGCGTCAACTAATAATAGTTGGACACGAGTACCATGGTGTTTGCAAATTAATTTTCAACACATATGTCATATCTTGTATTTATCTTCAGAATCAGAATCCAATAGCATATCAACACTACACTGGTAAGACCATAGAAGGTAAAAACATGATGAATACAGATATACGGCTCATATCAGGACCTTACATGCCTCGTCACTAGTGTTATCTGCGGAGATTCCATTTCCACATGGTATGCATAATGAATGGTTCCAGCAGAATTTTGGATTGCAGAGGAAATAAATACCCGATAACAACACTATTAAGAAATGATAAGAACGAACTGCCCAAATCTCTCTTTCGAGAATGAAAACACATAATCAAGAAATCATAGGACTAATTTTATACATAGATTAGTCGAATTCTCCTCCCCCCCCCAAAAAAAGGAACAATCTCCTACCGAAAAAACGAATATCGAGTTTGACGGCTGAAAGATAAAAGTAGAAAACTGATTACTTCGCAACAGATTCCACCAACAGTGCATAGAGCAACAAAACCTACTTCCGAAAATCGAAAGAAGAAAAGGCAAGGAAACGAAAAGGAACAGAAGATCAAGAGAGGACTACTACAAACAAATAGGCCTAAGAGATAACCGGAAGAAGAAACCACATGCCCGACGAAGCTCAAGGCACACGGGTACCTACGAGAATCGGGCGACCTCACGAGAGACGGACGAAAGCCGCAAGGGGGGAGAAGATTTTGATCGCGAGACGGCGAGAAAGATGGATGACCGGTGCGGGGGCGGGTGCGATTAGAGGGACTCCGAAAAGTGGCGAAAGGTGGGACCCGCGTCAAAAAAATGTGTGGGCAAAAGAATAGTGCGTACATGTGACAACGGTACGCCATCGACAGCTTGCGTACGCGATGAGACCAACGTCCTTTCGAGTCAGTAAGCGCTTCCGGTTTAGGCTTCGGGGTTAAAACACGATAAAAAGAAATTTATCTATCTGTCACAGAATTATATGGCCTAAAGAAAAGAGTTTTCTAAAAACCATATTAGTCATTTTAAAATTGAATAGACACGTGGCGACAAGCACGCGAGTTCGCAGGTAGCAGTAAAGGTGGAAGGATAATAATATTCATTCATATAGCCGCCATCGTCGAATCGAGAAATAACAGCTGGTTTAACCCCAACAGATCGACAACAATGGATGCCTACTATTTCAGATCAAGCCAAAACCGCAGGAGATCCATCCGTCATCCAAGATGATACTTTGCCATAAAAGGCCTCGATATTGGCATGCCACTCTTCATCCGCAACAGACAACACTGTTCTTTATTTGGAACCTCGAACCCTACACGCAGGAACGGAAACCAAGGACTAGATGCAGATCCAGAAAGCATTACAGGAATCCTCGACCTCTGATCGTCTCTCTTCTTGTGCTGCTTCTTACCAGAAAACTGCATGAGTTCAAAGGTCGGCAATACCGTAACACACGCACGTACATAAAAAGGATTATTCTCAAGGGCTACTTACAAGCAGCTCAAACAGTCGGTTATACACGGAAATTGTCTAACCCTTGCAAAACATTCACTTAAACGTAATAGGCCTAGTGATCATACGAAAACCATACTTTTTGCAAGGTCAAGAGACTTTTGGCGACCAAGGAGCTTTTCGACAATGGCCAATGCAAACTCTAACGACGTCCCTGGGCCTCTGCTTGTGATCAGGTTCCCGTCGACCACCACTCTGTTCTCGCAGTAGCTTTGGTCCGAAAGCTTGTCGCACATTGCTGGATATGCTGTTGCCTTCTTACCCTAGAGCAGGAAGAACATGAAAGGGTTAAGAGAATCTTTCCAAATTTTGACAACCTTGGATGAACATATGATGTCTAAACTACGTGACCCTGTTATGTTCTAATCTTTTTCATAGTTTCTCTGTGGTGCTGTGTGTAGACAAAGATTTCGTTGGTCTTTACTTTAAGCAGACCATGGGTCTCCAAGACTATCGCTGGTGACGCACATATTGCTCCGTAAAGTTTACTAGATTCTGCCTGCTTTCTGAGTAAATTGACCAGCTTCTCTGAATTTGAAAATGCTTGAGCACCAGGAAGGCCACCCTATAAAATTAAAATTAAAGCGACTGAGAGTAGAGACAAAAGTCATTTGCAAGACCAAACAGCCAAAAGGCACTGCTTACCGGCAGAACAATGAGATCGTATTGCAACTTAATGGCCTCATCCAGAAGCATGTCAGCTATCAGCTTCACTTTCCTAGATGCCACGATTTCTAGCTTATCTTCAACTGATGCTACCACAACATTGGCCTTTGCTCTGCGCAAAGTGTCAATTATCATCACGGCCTCCATCTCCTCTGAGCCATTTGCAATCGGAACAAGAATCTTGACCACACAAGGGACAAATGTTAATAAGTTTGCTCTAGCTAGAAATAAAAAGGCATAAAATACCAATCACTGGTTCTAAGATGGCCATGACCATAAGGTACTCGAGAATGAGATGAATATGGAAGCCAGCATACTTCAATTTCTTCTTCCAGCAAAAATGCTGTTGACAAATTAAATGTGTCCTAATCGCAATTTTCTGTTATAGTGCTATGATCGACTACTAGTTTCTTTAAACAACTGCACCAAAGACATCCTAATGCTTTTTTTTTTAATAGTCCAGCGAAAAATGTCAGGAAAAACATCCATAAAATCAGAGCTCGACACAAAAATGAATTTGAAACCACAAACATAGCTGAAGCTTCAAAGAACATGCATAAGCACAGAATAACATCAATTTCCAACTATAATATGAAAATGATAACTAACATTCCAGCAAATTACTCGACATCTGGAATCTGCAGCAGCAGTTCAAGACTAGCAGATGATCCATTCTCTTCCAGCCACACATTTGACTCATGCTTGGTCAGCATGCATAACAAAGGCATGCCTCGAGGTTGGAAATTGTAGTATAAACAACAACAAATTAATCCGTGATAGCTTGTCAGGTAGGTAGTTCATGAGACTACAAAATGAAGCTAACAAAGACCTGGCTACACAATAGAACAACAAACAAGAAAGACTGCAAAACTCTGAAGCATACTATGTAAAACTAATAGCGCTCTATGGAAATATCATCTTACCTGAGGTGTAGAATCAAACTTCCATGATGTAGAGTTTATCTCAGTCATGGCAAAGTCAACTCCATGATGTGGACGCATGACCTAAACAAACAATTAATTTATTTGCATATAAAAGAAGTATCAAAGATACACATGGATTTGAAAAAACCAACTGATTTTTACTAATGCACTGAGTACATTACCCAATGATGATTAATGTAAAGGATCATATATATCATATAACTCGTTAAACGCATCATATAAGCTGTTGGCTTCAGCCAGATAAAAGTCATTACCATGCATATGGCATTTTTGTTAAGGCTTGCTAGAACATTTCAGACAATACTTCTATATATTCCTTTAAAACATCAAAAGGTCCACATACTGGAAGCTAGATACACAATCTACATTACTTGGAATTGAGGGAACCATGGAATGTAGCCAGTTTACGGAAAAAGTGACCTAAATTACCCATTTAAGAATCCTTCTTTTCCTCAATCAACCATAATTTATAACCATCACCAATGATTTATTTCTCAGGCCCAGCACATCCATTTCTGAATTCTGACATCCCATAGTCTTTGCAATTCATTGTCACTAGCTCAAAATTTTCCCTCTTCCTCTTCGTATCACCATCATCAACAACCCACACTCACTCTAATGACCAAATTCATCCTCAACGTCACATAATCTCATGTCATCATGTTTTTCAGTTGATTCCTCTTTTTCCTGTCACCAGTTACCATACCATTCAACCATGCCCATGCCGTACCCTCTTCTTCGCATAGGTGTTTCATCCTCTCGGCTAATTAGAGAGGGAGAAGTATATCTCCTCAGTTAAAAAAAGGGATTGGGTGCAGTATACCCAAAGAGGAGGACCACACGGATTGTTAGACCTTATTCTTTATGAATTCAACAATGAAATAAAGGTTCCGATTAGAAATGTTTGTGGACATTACCCACCAGACAGTCAGATTCCAATCAAAGACAATTGAAGGCTTATAATTACATAATAAATTCAGAACTAGTAGGCAGTGGTGGAAAGATTATCATGGCCAATCATACCATATAAAAGCAAAGAGAATGGGTGCATGGGGAGCCTTGAACAAATTGTAGGGTCATCTATCAAGCATGGTAAGTTGAGAATGCATAATTTGACTAAACTTCTAAGGAATGGTATGATCTAATGTTGTATAGAAGCCTTACCACTAAATGTGGGACGGTTTAGGGGCAATATACTTGTAGGCAGTGAACACTAACCAAGAACTTGCATCATTCTTTGAGCGATATATAGAAATCATGTAAAACATATTTAACCTCATACCAGTCCATTGTATTAATCTACATGTACACATAATCAGGTCATACATCATTCCCGATTGGTCAGTAGTGGTAAAAATCTCAAGGTAGCTTTATATTGATCATATTTTGCTTCATTACAGTTAGAAGTTACAAATTTGGAAAACAATCACTCCAATGCCGTAACTCCTAGTGGTGACATCACGTCACCACAAAATTAGAACAACAAAATGGCCAATTGTTCAAAGAACATGATAGAATTTGCTTTTACATCCAAAGGTTCATGTTATCATTATGCAGACCTAAAATACAATTTTCAAATCAGGATGGAGTAGCCATTTAATTTGGTTCCTGATTCAGGTTATGGATCAAAAGCCTAAGAGTAATTATATGTTTAAACAATTTCAACTCAATTTTACCAGAAGCATAACAACAACAAGAAAGTATCAGAAGTAAATCAAATAATAGTGTTTACCATGGGCCCTGCAACTTCATCTGCTTTATCTTTCCCGTAAAGTTTTTCGACCAAAGCCAAAGAATACTCCATAGCTGTTCCTGGTCCACGGCTTGTGACAACTTGACCTTCAACTTGGACCCTCGACTCCACTGCGGTTGCATCTGAGGGCAGTTTGTCCATGAATGAAGGATAACAAGTCGCCTGTTGACGGCAAGAGAGAGAGAAAAAATAAGCACTTGTTAGAAATCCAGCACTGACAAAGAGCTCTTACAATAAGGAGCATACATAAAGAGTCCATTCACTGACATGAAAGGAATATGAAGGCCGAATAATAAGCTAATAATCACGTCATTGTTTATAACTAAAAAATGATTTGATAAATCATGAATCTGAAAGTATACATAGAGCAACAACACGTCTAACTAATGACCGAGATATGGGCCATCTAATATAAGGAAAGCAAATTACCCAAAAATAATCTCACCTTTAGACCTTTAAGCAAGCCCCATGATCCAAGGGCAACAGCAGGCGCAGCACAGATCGCCGCATAAAGCCCACCTTTTTCAGCCTGCTTCTTCACTATACTCTCCAACACTCCACAATCCCTGAGAGTATCCGAGCCCGGGATCCCTCCCTACTCAAGTCACAGTTCAAATCAGATAAGAAAGGAACCCTAAAAAACTGAGACGCTAAAAGCTCGAAGCAAAACCCCACGGGAAGGGAGATGAGGTCGAAGGAGGCGGTCGCGACGTCGGCCACGAGGGCGTCAGCGACCAGCTTGACCCCCCAGCAGGCGTCCACGCGGAGGTCTTTCTCGGCGGAGGCGACGGTGACGTCGGCACCGGCGCGGCGTAGGACGTCGATCGTGATCACCGCCTCCATCGGCTCCGTGCCATTGGCGATGGGAACGAGGACCTGATCCGATTCGAGAGATTAAGAAAAGAAGAATCAAACGCACCAGAGGAGAGGAAAAGGACATTTTTGTACCTTCTTCGGAATCGACGCCATGGATGAGTAAGAGGAGGAGGAAGCGGCAGAGGAGCAGAGCGTGCGGGGATGAGGGGCGAGTGGTTTGCTGGGGAAACGGAGAAGGGTTTTGTAGACCAGGGGAATGGGAAGAAGAGGAAGAGGGAGGAGGTGACGCGTGGCCATTTTTTTGGTTTCGGTAGGGCGTGTTTGCGTTTGGCTTTGGGATGGGGAGAGCGGCGGTCGAGTCCGCGTGCAAGAGAAGCTGCACGATATGGGGACGTTTACTTGGCGTCGATTTGGCGTTGCACGTGTCAACAACGTATTTGGACTTGCTTCGGGATAGCTTTATCTCCTTTCTTTTTTAAAAAATATCAATCCTATTTTTATAATTTGCAAACTAATTTTAAAAAAAAATTATTTTTTTCAGTATAAGATTTTTTTTATTTAGTCATGCATATCGCTTCTTATTATCAAAAAAAATAAAAAGGATCGCTTTTTTCATGTATCGTTTACGATGTTCAAAAGGTATAATATATCTTATCCATAGGTTGTTACTATGTCTTAAGTTCGGTATAAAGAAAGTACACATAATATAAGTTTTAGGCATAACTTTTTTTACTATTCCACTTAATGAGGACCGGACTTTTAGATGGATCTCGAAGCCCGTCCTGAATTAACTTCAGGAGGCCACCACCCATAGTTTAATCTCGAGTCATTCTCATGGATATAATTACATTCTAAAACAGATCAAGATGAAATTATTGCAAATCTCGGAGAACAATATTCCTTAACCATCCACCCGAGGACCAATGGGAGGGAAGAGATCCTCCATGCTGGATCCTGCGTAATGGGAAGAACACACACACAAACCATATGCATCGACGCCGCTCAGGTTCTGTACGCATGACTTTTCTCGATCTCATGGAACATCAAGAATACTAGGTTGATGAACAGTCATGGTGATTCTCGTGATTGGCATTCATTCCAAGCCTTCATGCCTCTCCCGCTGGCGACGTCCTCATTGCTGAACCTCGAGAAAATGAAAATATACATAGGTACCGGAAACAATGGCTTAATCTTCTTCGAGGATCACCGGTTCTTATAGCAACCGTGCGCCATTAACAATTTGGTGCAATCACCTGTGACACATCTGCCATTCTTTTAGAAGCTCCACGTTGCAGCCATTCATTCATTCTTCGTTTTCTCCTTTTTCTTATCACGAGCTTCCCATTTTACTCTTTCCACAGGAAAGAAAATCTCGCCTTTCCTTCTTCCTACTCTCCTCCCCTGTCTGCACCCGCCCACTGCGTTCATCCGCAAATGCTGCAATCTCGGGAGCTTTTGGAAGAGATCTGCAGCTACATTGTCCCAACATGTCGAATAATTGAATAAGATATATAATATAATAATTAATTGGGTTCATGAGATCTCATCGTAGACCCTCTGCTCTCGTCTATAAAAAAGACAGGACCCCTAGGGTTGAGAGAGTGTTGGCACATTACATCCTCTCGAGGGATTTCAGTTTCTCTCCCAAAACCCTTTTCTCCCCAAAATTTCATCAATCTCAGTGGGTCGGATAGGAAGAGAGGAGAAAGGATCTATTACTTGCACTCCTTGCAGATTCTACAGTGGATTTGGATTAAAAAATTTATTTATGATGCAAAAAATTTTCAAGAATTGCTAAGTAGCAATGGTCACCGTCAACCTCGCTGTGAATCTACGACCACACTAGGTAGCGTGCGCATCACAGAACTCGTCCCGAATGCGGGCATCACAGAACCCGTCCCATATGCGGGCATCACAGAATCCGTCCCATACGCTAAACTCGTCCTTGCGACGGCCGACCGCACGCGGCCAGAACCTGTCCATGCGACGGTCGGCCACACGCAGGCAGACAGCCCAAGTGGCGATCGTGCACAAGCGACGACCGCACGCTAACAGCAGCCACGCGCCGGCAGGAACTGCCGCAGCGGTCGCGCGTGAGCAGTAGCAGCGCCGTGGCGGCAGCGACCGCGCGCAGGCTAGAACTGCTGCTGGTAGCCGCGTACAAGCGGCAGCCCACAGTTGCGTACAGGCGGTAGCAGCGGCAGCACCGCTCGCGTAGGCGGCGAAGACGAAGGCAGATTAGGGTTTTGGCATAATTACAGTTTTGCCCTCGAGGATAGGGTTTTATTAAAATTATAATTTTACCCTTGTAAATTTAGTAATTTTAGATTATGTTCTGTCAACATATTTACGGTTTTACCCTCGGGTTTAATTTATGCCAAAATTATAGTTCTGCCATTCGTATATTTCTGATTTATAACATTTCAAATATTTATAGTTTTATCAAAATTGAGAAATTTAATTCATATTCTCAATTATAAATTGATAAATATGATTTATTATAATTATCATTAATTTTAATCATAATTATATTTTTGATTAGATTTAATTTTTGATTAAAAAAATATAAATTATGGTTTACTTTATAGTTTTCTCATATGAATTATTGATTTTACATGTGATAAATAAAATTAATGATTTATATGTTATCATGATTATCATATGAGTTTTCGTACTGATTAATATTCAATAATTATTATTGTTATTTATTATTAAATTACTTAGCATTAATGTTTAATAATAATTATTATTATTTATTATTGAATTACTTAGCATTAATGTACAATAATTATTATTATTATTTATTATTGAAATACTTTGCAATAATATTCAATAATTATTATGGTTATTTTATTATTAAATTTCTTAGCATTAATGTTCAATAATTATTAATGTTATTTATTATTGAATTACTTAACATCAATATTCAATAATTATTATGGTCATTTTATTATTGAATTGCTTAGCAAAAATTAAAGAAATTGATGAATATTATTTATAATTTATTTCCCTAAGTTTTATGTGACTAGTAGCTGCCAAAGTGGTATAGGATGATAGACTTTTGTGATATGAATTACAATAAAAGTTTTGTCATTTATAGGATATTTTTATTTTATATTATTGTATTAGTCTTGTAACCACCAAAGTGACTTGGACTAATGACTTATAAAATAATATTAAGAAATTAGTCCTAAATGACATTAAGAAAATAATATTCATAAGGACACATATAATTAGGAGATTTAGATAATCCCAAAGGAGAATCTAATTCAAATAATTATATGATTGGGTAGGATGATATTGTTTTTGGATATCCTTGCAGTTTAGGGTTGTATACCCAAAGGTAACAACATTATTCCATAAGGATGGTATCAGTCCTCCATAAATATTCTTGAGTGAATACTAGATATGTCAATATTTCACCCAAACGTGTAATATAGATGATATCAATTGTTCATAAATTTTTGACAAACTCAAAGCATTAATGTTATTCTATATTTTTGCAGTGGTACTTCCGCATATACATTCATATGCTTCAAGTGTCCCTGTACTATCTGGATCAAATTATTCAGAATGGTTAAAGCATTTGCAATTCACACTAGGTGTATTAGATCTTGATTTAGTATTACTTGTTGAAAAGCCTACAGACTTGACTGATGAAAGTACTATAGAACAAGTAAATGAAATGAAGGCTTGGGAAAGATCTGATAGACTTAGTTTAATGTTCATAAGAATGATAATTGCAAATAACATAAATACTTTATTACCGACTGCAACTAGCGCAAAGATCTGGTAGCTCATTATGATCTTGAGTTGCATCAGATGGATGTGAAAACAGCATTTCTGAATGGGGATCTAGATGAGGAAATCTATATAGAACAACATGAAGGATTCATTGAAAATGGAAAAGAAAATTGGGCTTGTAAACTTAAGAAATTCATTTATGGCCTTAAACAAGCTTCCAGACAATGGTATATAAAATTTCATAATATCATTACTTCATTCGGATTTTAGGAAAGCACTATTGATCGGTGTATATATTTGAAGGTAAGTAGGAGATCTTGGTTTATTGCACGAAACCAAGATATTTCTCAACAAAAACTTTAAGATGGTTAATATGAATGAGGCAACATATGTTATTGACATTGAGATATTCAAGAATAAATCTCAAGGATTATTAGGATTGTCTCAGAAAGGATATATTGATCGTATCTTGGAAAGATTTAATATGCAGCTTTGCTCAGCCAATGATGTACCAATTACTAGAGGTGAAAAATTCAATCAAAACCAGTGCCCAAGAAATGACTTAGAAAAGAATCAAATGAAGAATATTCCTTATGGGTGCGTAGTTGGAAGTCTATTATATGTTCAAACCTGTACAAGACCATATATCAGTTTTGAAGTTGTAATGTTGGGAAGATACCAAAGCAACCCAGGAATGGAACATTGAAAAGCTACAAAGAAAGTAATGAGATATCTGCAAGGGAGAAAGATTATATGCTCACATACAGGAGATCAGATCAGCTTGAAGTGATAGGATATTCAGATGCTGATTTTGTAAATTGGCTCGATAGTAGGAAGTCCACTTCAGGATTTGTATTTATGTTAGCTGGTGGGGCAATTTCTTGGAAAAGTGCAAAGCAATCGCTTATTGCATCATCAACAATGGAAGCTGAATTTGTGGCATGCTTTAAGGCCACAAATCAAGCTTTATGGCCGCTGAAAATATTTTGTGATAACACTACAGTAGTTTTCTTCTCTAAGAATGGCAAGTACTCTAGTGGTTCCAAGCACATTGAGATAAAGTACTTGGTGGTTAGAGAAAAAGTCTAGAAACAGCAAGTATCAATTGAGAACTTGAGCACCACTATGATGATTGCTGATCCATTGACAAAAGTCTTACAGTGTAAAATGTTCAAAGAACATGTTCTTAGAATGGGGCTTGTGAGCAAGTCATAAAGGATATGGTGATGCATGTTTATGTGGATGTTATTATTTATATTCTTCTTACTTAATTAAAGTTGTATGTTTCTGCTATCCTGTTTACATTTATGTTTATGCATATTATGGTTGAATGTAATAACGGGATTGTCTTGACAAGACAAATTACAAGGGTCATTATGGACTATATTAGGAAAGACTAAAAATATTGTGGTACATAAAAGGGAGTATGACATTGATGAAATACAACCGCTATCACTCGCATTGATAGTTGGACTTAATATTCCTTTGCATTAGTTGTCATCGGTAATGAAGTCTTTATGTTATTTGCAATTGTCATTCTTATGAACATTAAACTAAGTCTATCAGATCTTTCCCAAGCCTTCATTTCATTTACTTGTTCTACATTACTTTTATCAGTCAAGTCTGTAGGCTTTTCAACAAGTAATGCTAAATCAAGATCTAATACACCCAGTGTGAATTGCACATGCTCTAACCATTCTGAATAATTTGATCCAGATAGTACAGGAACACTTGAAGCATATGAATGTATATGCGGAAGTACCACTTCAAAAATATAGAATAACATTAATGCTTTGAGTTTGTCAAAAAATTATGAACTATTGATATCATTTATATTACACCTTTGGGTGAAATATTGACATATCTAGTGTTCACTCAAGAATATTTATGGAGGACTGATATCATCATTATGGAATAGTGTTGTTACCTTTGGGTATACAACCCTAAACTGCAAGGATATCCAAAAATAATATCATCCTACCCCATCATATAATTATTTGAATTAGATTCTCCTTTAGGATTATCTAAATCTCCTAATTATATGTGTCATTATGAATATTATTTTCTTAATATCATTTAGGACTAATTTTTTAATATTATTTTATAAGTCATTAGTCCAGGTCACTTTGGTGGCTACAAGACTAATACAATAATATAAAATAAAAATATCCTATAAATGATAAAACTTTTATTGTAATTCATATCACAAAAGTCTATCATCCTAGGTCACTTTGGCAGCTACTAGTCAGATAAAACATAAAGAAATGAATTACAAATAATATTCATCAATTTCTTTAATTTTTACTAAGCAATTCAATAATAAAATAACCATAATAATTATTGAATATTGATGCTAAGCAGTTCAATAATAAATAACAATAATAATTATTGAACATTAATGCTAAACAATTCGATAATAAAATAACCATAATAATTATTGAATATTAATGTAAAATAATTTAATAATAAATAACAATAATTATTATTAAATATTAAATACTAAGTAATTTAATAATAAATTATTATTATTATTATTAAACATTAATGCTAAGCAATTCAATAATAAATAATAATAATAATTATTGAATATTAATCAGTACGAAAACTCATATGATAATCATGATAACATATAAATCATGCCTTCATGTGAAAAGTAAATATTATTTCATAATTTCATATATATATATATGAATAAATAAATAAAAGTCCAAAAACAATAATTGGATTTTAATTTTATTTACCACATGTAAAATCAATAATTTATATAAATCATGCATGTGAAAGGTATACATTATTTCACAATTTCATATATACACATGTGAATAAGTAAATAAAATTCCAAAAATAATAATTAGATTTTAATTTTATTTACCATATGTATAATCAATAATTCATATGAGAAAACTATAAAGTAAACAATAATTTATAATTTTTTTAATCAAAAATAAATCCAATCAAATAATCAAAAATATAATTATGATTAAAATTAATCATAATTATAATAAATCATATTTATCAATTTATAATTGAGAATATGAATTAAATTTCTCAATTTTTGATAAAACCATAAATATTTGAAATGTTATAAATCAGAAATATGCGAATGGCAGAACTGTAATTTTGGCATAAATTAAACCCGAGGGTAAAACCGTAAATATGTTGACAGAACATAACCTGAAATTATGAAATTTACAAGGGTAAAACTGTAATTTTTACAAAACCCTAGCCTCGAGGGCAAAACCGTAATTATGCTAAAAACCCTAATCTGCCTTCGCCGTCGCCGTCGCTTGCGCGTGGCCGCTGCCGCCACAGGGCTACAACTGTTCTCACGCGGTCGCTGCCGTTGCGGTGGTTCCTGCCCGCGTGTGGCTGCTGCCAGCGCGCAGCCGTCGCCTGTGCACGGTCTACTCACGCACGGCTGCCACCTGGGCTGTCTGCCTGCGTGTGGGCGACCATCGCATGGACGGGTTCTGGCTGTATGCGGTCGGCCGTCGCATGGACGGGTTCTGTGATGCCCGCATATGGGACGAGTTCTGTGATGCCCCCATATGGGACGAGTTCTGTGATGTGCACGCTACCTAGTGTAGTCGCAGATTCGCAGCGAGGTCGACGGTGACCATTGCTGCTTAACAATTCTTGAAAGATGAAGGTAATTTTATGCATCGTAAATAAATTTACAGATCTAATGCATTTGATTTCAAAAACCGGGTTCTGATACCAATTGTAAGCATAAAATCTATAATTATGCTATATTTGAAATGCGAAAATAACTTATATGCCAGGATTTAAATCAAGTGTATAAATCTAATTATTACAATGCGTACCTTTTGATGTCATCTCTTCAGAGATCTCGTTTGATCTGCTAAGCACCGTCTTTAATCCAAATCCACTGTAGAATCTGCAAGAAGGAATTTTGGGGAGAAAGGGTCGAGAGCCAATTCTCATAAGCCGAGCACATCCGGAATCCTAATGGAAATATTGGATCCGCACGAAATTATTTGGATCCGATTCACCACGTAAACCTTCCATTGATGGGCAAGGAATGTTGGGGCGGCACAATTTTATGGTGGCCAGCGACCGCAACGGGGTAAGGGGCATGTGGGTTTGGGTGCCGATTTCGGTGGCCGGAAGCACATACGGAAGGAGGGCAAGCGATGGCCGCGACGATGGGCCGGTTGACAGGGGATGGTGGAGGCGCGGGCCGAGATCTTCGGACACGTTCTGAACCCGTAGGGGAAGGGCTCCATTCACAAGATGCTCGGTAGAAGCTCATCGGAAATAAGATCGCGCCCATTCACAAGTATGGGGGCGCGCTACCTTTAAAAATATTAAATGTTCACTTTAAATGATCGTTAACCTAAATGATCGTTAACCTAAATGTTCATAAGAAGACTACTATCAAATCCATTCAAAATGAGCCCACAAGTAAAAGTAAATTATTTGTTCGTCTATAAATGCCAATAAGTTAATTGCTATTTTGCATTTCCAACCTACCTTTTACTTATTATTTCAGTATCTAGAGAGAGAGAGAATCTCAACTTTTTACAGCAGAATTTATTGACAATTTATTTACAGCTAGCGTTCCTTGATCCATTTATTTAAAGCAGAATATTCTGCCCCAAATCCCGAGTGTACAGAAAAAAAAAGAAAAACAAAACAAAACGCTAGAAAATTCTTTTTCCTAAAGTTTGCTTGATAGGACAATTAAAGTGAAGTGTAAGGCGTCAGTTACCGAGTGCCCTACTTACTGGGGAATTTTGCCATTGCTTACAAGATGCTGACTTAATGAATGGTGAAAAATGTACGACAAAAAAAACATGCTTCGATAATATTATAAGATATCATCTGAAATTAATTAACATAATTGCAGACTAAATAGTTGCCAAAGATTTTCTAGGGCACATCCTCTCTTACACGAATGAACTATTAATTTACTTAGTCTGCAGCGTCTTTCCTAATGATTTTAATGTACTCCAGTCTCCAATAATCTTCCAGAATATCCATTTTTCATCTCGATCATGCTCCTCGTGCATCCAACATTAAGAACTAATGCTAAATTTCATTTCCAACCGCATGTAATAATCCACGGATATATGAATTATCAAATACATTCATAACACTCAGAGTTAGTAAGGCAGCAGTACAACAAAATAGCATTTCTCAAGAATAACAGGATATTTGACTACATAACAGCAAGATGCATTAAGGCTATACCAAAACCCACTGATCCTACAACACATAACCTAAGCACAGTGCACTAGAATTAGCCTGAAAGCTAACCTCAACATTAATAACTTGTACAATAAGCCATGTTGTGGCCAGTCACACATTTATCTTCTGGCCATACACGACCTGGTAGAAAACAGAGTTAGGTGATAATAAATTGGAAACACACTTTTGTTGCCCATATAGAACAGAACTAAACGCGTTGCACCAGAACTACCTGAAAATAGTTATCCTCACTGGAATTCTCAACATCAATGGCCCACAAACTGGGCCATGTTGTAACCAGTCACGCATATATCTTTTGCTCTTACTTCCTAGCTCCTAGTCCCACAATGTACTGCATATATTATTCGTGTGGAAAACATTAAGTGTTAGAGGAGTATAAATTGGAATAACTCTGAAAATAATTTGAAGCCCTTGTGCAACAACTCCTTCAAGCTCTTTCTTATTTTATCTTCCATTTCAATTTTTAGCATATAGCAATGCAAAATTCATTTCCTCCATACAAGAAATTTTCACAGGTCGCATTAATTTATTGTTAATACAAATTTCCTTCAGATAACATCTCTTCACGCAGATCCAAATCCAAACCGCATTTTCTATCAATGCAAGATCCAGGATAACAAACAAAACTTAAAAAGGAAGCTACACAACATATCACGAATTATTAGTTAAAGATCTAGTACTAATACAAGAAGAGGGGATCCAAGGTCACAAATAATAACAAAGAAAAAATAGACAACTCGATCAATTCAAGATTGAACATCACGAATAAAAATTCAGAAAAGAACTTCAAGATCCAAGATCGTAATAGAAAACTCAGAAAAGTAAGGGACCAAGAACACCACAGGTTACCAATCTTACGACGGACATTGATCAAGAAAATAGACAACAAATTGATAACTCGATCAATTGAAGATTCGACATCAGGAACAAAAATTCAGAAAAGAACTTCAAGATCCAAGATCGTAATAGAATAATCAGGAAAGAAAGGGATCGAGAACATCACAGATTACCGATCTTACAACAAAAATTGATCGAGAAAATAGATAACAAATTGATAACGTGATCAATTGAAGATTCGACATCAGGAACAAAAATTTAGAAAAGAACTTCAAGATCCAAGATCGTAATAGAATACTCAGGACGAAACAGAGGGCGTAATCACGGGAAGAAGAAGATGAAGGGAAGACGGAGGAGAAGGCAGAGGGAGGGAGGGACGGGAGGACGAAACAGAGGGCGTAATCACGGGAAGAAGAAGATGCGAGAGAAAAGTTCTCCGACTCGAGAACGAAACAAGAGGGCGCAATCACGCGAAGAAGTCGAAACTGTCATCATCGCTCGATATTTATAGGGTGGCACCAATCACGACTAATGCTGGTCGGTGGTAGTTTATCACACAGGCATGCACAAATCACGAGAAGGTCAGTCCTGCAACGTAGACTGAAAATTCCTGCGAGTGTAAAAAATAGAGCTTCATCAGAAATATGTAATAAGAATTTTCTAGAGCCGACCTCGATTGATATATTAATCGAGTTGAACTCAGTATAATGTGAATCAATCTGGCCACCTCGTTATGTTTACGTCGGCTTGGTGATCACAAAATGCCACCCTTGCTGGTATTTGTACGATTAAGAAGTCATTTTGTTTACACTTGCAGATCCACACAGATTGTGTGCATGAGCCTAAACCCACTCTATGTCAACCCATACCGATTCTGGGCGTCGCATGTTGCAATCTACACCATAACAACTTGCAAGCAACAAAGACATTACGGAAATGAGAGATTTGATTGCATCCGATCATGCATTTGGAATATGTCCAGAGATGAAATTTCAATCATCAGGAAATATTATGTCCAAAGATAACGCAAGTATAAGAATCAAAAGAGCATGTCTTTTGTGTTATCAGTTAAGGTTTGCATTGTTAATCCTATGAATCCTTACTGATTAACTGTAAAGCAATGATATGCAGTTCAAAACTGCCAACATAAGGCATGTTCTTTCATAGAGCAACAGACATGTTTTTATCCAAAGAATGATCGATGTAAGTCTGTCACGCATGAAGGTCGAACACTTAAAATGGAAGTTTCTTACGTGCTAGTTTAGATAGTAATCTTATCGTACATAAACAAAGTTTAGATAGCAAAGGCACTGTCTACAAAGTGCAAACAACTATAGAGAAAAGAAAATAGACATTGCCTTCATTAATCTGATATTTATAGAATGATAGTATTAACCATCTTTCTCAAACGAGGTGTACAATCACGTCCTTGCATTAGCCTTTATTAACCATCTCACATTGTCCCTAAAACTAGACGAGTGACGCTTTGTTTATACGGATACGTCTCCTCCTTCCGTCAGGTCCTTCTAACTTAACACTATCGAGTAATTGTCATTAAAGAGCACATTCATCTCTATCATCTATGTCACAATTAACCCCCAACAAACATAATTTACTAGGCATATTCCTTGTCAACACCAATTAACCATAAACATAATTTACTATGTTTCGATTCTATATATCATACGACCTTTGCTTTGGATAAAAGATATGACGCACTCTTCCCCTTATGTGTTGGGTCCAGCCCATATGTGGGTTTAGACAATTGAGTCTTTTGAGCCCAAATTAATAATTAAAAGGGTTTTGTGCAGTGAATGAGAGAGGGCAGTGTGCGTGTTGTGCAGAGAACGACACTGCGAGAGGAAAGAGAGAAAGAGAGGAGGAAGAAAAATAGGATTCTGATGTTTCTGTTTGACGATCAGGGGTTAAACTTTGCCAGTTTTGATCCACATTTGATGTGGAGAATCCTTACAACATGCTCTACAATCCTAACGGTGTTGATCTATAGTTTACAGATACTTTCATATGATATTCAATAGTGGAAGTTTGAAGTGGAGCATGGTCCCATGATTTTTTTCGTATTGGGTTTTCCATATTAAAAATTTGATCTTTATGTGTGATTGATTTATTATTCTATTATTTATGTTGTTCTAATTAATATTTATATTTTGATATAAAGTTGATATTTTGATGAATAAAATTAGTATTTTGATATGGAACTTATTTTTTAGGCCTTCAACCGTATTATTCCGCTTTAATAATTATATTAGGCCTTTATCGTAAATCACAAACGAGGCCTTCGTTTTACTACCTCATGAACAAAACCGAAGCAATTATTATCAACAAAGCAGACTGGGGCCTAAGAAAATTCCTATTGTTTTATTCAGACAAGCTCCTAATTCTCTCATATAACACTCCAAGTGAGACAACCATTGCTGATTTCAAGAATCTCTATGTATCAAATTCAGACATATATATGATAAAAAGAAGAACTAATTTCAGGTCAAATTAACTTGGTAACAAAAACTACTTCACACTCATCGATTCTTTGATCGAAAGGCATCAAACTGTAGGAAGCAGGAAAACAGAACGTCCTAGATTCAAGAAACGTGATACCAGCAGCAGATTTCGAAGATCTCACAAGTCGGAATCAAGAAAGGATGAGAGGAGGAAGAGAAAGAGAGGAGTGAGGGGCAGGAAGCGAGAGACCTGTGATCTTGGGTGGATGCCGCCGAGGGAATCTGCTCCATGGTGTCCTCTTCATCGATCTCCTTGCGATCGTTCTCTCGCATTGGGTATTCTCTCCCATCTGGTTCTTAGCATATGCGGAAACGAGTGATGAAATGGGGTGCCAACGGAGCTCGGATGCCAAGAAATATCCCAATCAAGTTAATGTCTTCGACTGTTACAAAACAAAGGAATCAAATTACTTTGATAAAGGCATTAATTAAATGATGATGCAACAAAGTCGGTGCGGCTCCTATGTCTCAGTCGAGCGACCAAACAAGGGAGGCCCTGCTCTCAACGGCTGCGCTACCTGGGTCCCACAAGAACTAACTACGATCTCATCAAGCATTGGCCACCGTGTCTCGCGGTAACGGTGGCCGGGAACCAATAAGATGTGTCCCTTGCTACGCACGCTGCTTTTAATGTTGTTAGTTCTACTATAGTCGGGCACTGCAGTTACATGCGATCAAGAGTTTAAGCTGACCGACCACTTGTTTGCGAGCTCCACCGTCACACGAAAGTAACGCAACATTCTTTCTCGTCCTCGCCAATCTCAAGTGCTTGGCACCCGTGGTGTCTTGGAATCTTGCTTTGAGCATGACAAGTCCTTTTCCTGCTGCTGCTCCCGACGTGTCGTCACATGTTAGGCCGGGTTTGGCAGGCAAATGCGGGTAGGTATCTTTTCATCCCGTCCTGCACACTTTACTGGTTCATTAAATGACTCTCTTCTCATCGGAGAACGTCACGCGCGGATCGGTCGCTCCCAAAATTTTCGTGGAATCCTTATCGCAAGTTCCATGCGCCGAATGAGAATCTTATACCAGCAGCATTCATCACTACAGACTAATCTGATTTTATTTTATTTTATATTATTTAGAGAAGAGACTTGGGGTTTTTGACGCACGTGCGAAGGCACGCCCTCTGTTCTAGAGAGCACCGAAAGCGAGGCAAATATATACATACAATAAGAAAATTCTGCTCTTATCTCGATCAACCCGAAACAATAAACAAAAAAAAGGACGGTCCTCTTGTCGTGATATCGATGGACACGTGTGAACGCTTCAACCGTCAATTACTCGACGCACAGAACCACCGGAATATTAACGAGGAGAGCGATGGTTGTGATGAGCTGGATTTTGACTGGAGCAGGCTGCTGGACCCACGATTGGACCCGCTCGAGAAGGCTGGTGGGTGAGTCGAAGTATCAGCACAGCTCTTCTGCGACCACTGGCAGTAGTGGCCGAACGACTCGATCTTGGCGGAAATTTACGCATCTGCCACCGCCAGCATGGCGCGTTCCGACGTCCGCGTCATGTACAGATGAGTCGCGGCCGAGTATGAACGCCGGCAAGCTGATGACACAGTGGCAATACCGTTATACGATCCGAGGACCGAGGCTAGTTTGATAGGAGTTCCATTATTAAACGGATTAGCCGGTGCATAGCGCAGCCGGGCACAATAGCATCATCACGAAGGTGCGCGGAGAGGCGGAGGGACCAAAGCATTCATCGTCTCGGTTGGATCGGGAGATGGTTCGAGCGCGGGCAGTAGGAAGGAGCGGCAACGGCAGCGGTGGGCTGTGGCGGCTCGCCGACGAGTTGAATCCACCGGAGGTCGGTTGCAGGGCCATGGAGGCGGAGTGCATCCGGCGGTTCCATCGACATGAGCCCATGGAGAACCAGTGTAGCTCCTGCGTCCTCAAGCACATCAAAGCCCCCGTCCAACTCGTAAGGGTCTCTTTCCTATGCTTGGATCGGATGCCGATGCGGTTTCGGTTGAATTTGGATGGGTCTTTCGCTGTGGGCTTTTCTTTTGGGAGCCTGGTGGTTCCACTCAGCTGTTCTTGAACAGATGCCAAGAGCTTTGAAGTGTAAAACACTGGATTTTGCGTACCATTGTATTCACCAAATGCAGGAAATGAGTTGGTCCAAATGTATTATGGTCTAAAAACTGGGGTTTCTTTTTTCTCCTCCTTTTTAGATATTTTTTGATGGAAGAGATGATCATCTTGCATGCATGCTGCTCACGATTAAAAGCTGTGTGGTTGGTAGTGATTTGAGGTGGCCTCTGTGTCAGGTGTGGTCTCTGGTGAGGCGATTCGATCAGCCGCAGAGGTACAAGCCTTTCGTGAGCAGGTGCATCGTGCAAGGAGATTTCGCGGTGGGGTGTTTGCGAGAGGTGAACATCAAATCGGGGCTGCCCGCCACCACCAGCACCGAAAGGCTGGAACAGCTCGATGACAATGAGCACATCCTCAGCATCAAGATTGTCGGAGGAGACCACAGGCTTCAGGTCTTGTGTTCTTGTCATCTCCGTCTTCTGTTCCTGGTTTTTGCTTAGTTGTTGCGGAGATGTTGGCCTTCGATTGTAGACCCAAACATTCCTCTCGAAACACTGGGTTTATGGTAACCCCTGCATCAGCTGATCATGACTGCAACTCCTCAGATTGGGAAGTTGTATTGCATAAGATCTGATGGCTTCGCTTTTCAATGGATGTAACTTCCTGGCTTAATAATCATAGTAAATTCTCCTCCTTTGTTATCGATTGGATACGTATAGAAAAAAAAATGGTATTTAACCTTTACCCTGAGAAAAAAGAGACGAAAACTAATATCCAGCAAACAGCTTTTGGTGTTTCAGCGTCCATCTTTGATTTATCATATGATCCTCCTCGTTTGATCCCATCACCTCTCACCTTTGTTTATGTGAATTCAGAGAAGCTTGCTTGACAAGGCTGCATCATAACTAGACCTGTTTCCACCATTTTGTCTTTCCTTTCTTCTGTGTTTAATCTGCTTCATGATAACATGGTAATGTTATTAAGTGCTATGCATCCGAATCTATTTTGAGCCTAAATTTTCGGTATCGGTGCTCATCGATCTTCATCCTTGTTTCTCCACAGAACTACTCATCGGTTATTACTGCTCATCCTGAGATGATCGATGGTGAAGAAGGGACATTGGTGATAGAGTCATTCGTGGTGGATGTGCCCGATGGGAACACCAAAGATGATACTTGCTTTTTCGTGGAGGCCCTGATCAAGTGCAACCTCAAATCACTGGCTGTGATATCAGAGCGTTTGGCAGATCAGGATCTAGCAGAGTCGATGGCCCTCTGATCCACCAATACTTTTGGATCTTCGGAACGTCCGAGCTTTTGATGTAGTCAGCCTTGCCTTTCTTTCCCATGTCTTCTTCTACCATCCCTCGCCTCGCCCTGCAGCTATGGTTAGCTTGAACATTGCACGTCTCTGATGAGGTTTACTCGCCTGTGAATGAATGGCAGTGATGTTTCGTGGTCACAGTGATGCGTACGGCAGCAAATGCAGGTCGAATGAAGGTGTATTTTGAATGTACTTTCTGTAAATATTTTTAACTATCTTCTCGTTTTTTAGAGACAGAGAGAGAGAGTTCTGTAAAGAGCTTCGAGATGTCATGAATTTTGTTGTGAACCTAATGGAATAGCTATGTGTTGGGTGATTCCGCTCATGATTTTAGGATTAACTAAAAAACTCTGACCTTAATCTTATACGAATTAAATAGTATGAGTTAGATAGAAAAATCTAGAAGGTGAAAAGACTTTTTCATCTAGAGAGAAAAATTATTTTCATCTAAAAAAAGAAAGATTCGACTATTGGTTTATGAAATTAGTTTTGATTATTATGTTGGTTAGTGAAAAAAATAGGATCGATGAATTGATTAGTATGATTAACTTTTAACTTTTGATGATGGGATTTTTTTTTATGTTATGATAATTTTATTTAGGACCAATGTTTTCTTGTGTGTGGTGTGTCACACTCTCCATGTGCCAAAAGGAGCCGGTGACTGCCTCCTGTTTCTTCCTGCATGCATGGGATTGAGGGAAATAACTCTTAGTGTATTGTTAGTGGATGCGAGCAGATCATTTCGGTTCTTGGCAGTTCTCAGGCTAGTGGCCTTTCGTAAGCCACGAGACCGTATGAATGGGTGAATCATGGTGATCCGATCCAACAGGGGCAAATTCTTCTTCGGATGTTCCTTCTCCAGGCAGCTTGACGACGAGATGTGAGATGTGATACCGTAAACACAAAGCAATTAATGCGATGCAGCAGTCAGAACGATGAGGTGACTACGAATCAGTGACGAGATACGGACGTAAAAAAGCCAGATAATCTCAAGGATAGATTGGTTTATATTTTTTATGTTATCTTATGTTTGCATTGCGGTTCAGATGGCTTGCTTGGGTTTTCTTGTCAATTCCCTCGGTTGTTCCTCGCAAGTGATATGGTATATTTTGAGACCCCGAATTCGTTGATGCTATATGTCAAATCAGAATCGTACCAAAAAATTATTCTACCTGTTTCATCCCGAGAACTCGGGGCGGTGCTGTCTGATGTGACTTCGCACGCCTCGAGACGGCGGCCGATCAGAGGTGCCGCCCCATCCCTCGAGGGTCGACGGTCATGTCGAATCGACGTGCTACCAACCCTCATGCAATAGTATAAAGTCTCGGGCTAGCCTCCGGTCAGGGGAGGGAAAAATAATTCTACCCACTACTGACTTGCTCGTCGGAGGGGCTAAAGTCGGGAATCACCCGACGAAGGTCATTTTTGCAGGGAAACAACCACCTACGGCTCGCGATCGTCCCAACCTTGGAAGTCGCTGACTGACGTCCCTAAGGTGAGCCATCAATCGGCCCAGATCTCGACCAACGCCAACCAGCACTCCTTCCCGAGGGCACGACCATCTCAGCATCTAGCTCACTCTATAAAAACCTCCCGACATCGACCCGTGGACCTAGCCGTGCTGACTCATCAGCCATGATATATTTGTTCGCTAACATTTTGGTGCTAGAAGGAGGGGCATGTCGCAGGAGCATCTCGTAGGAGCTCTCCCCGAGGGAGAACCACCGACCGATCTCCCCTCCGTCGAACCCAGAGATCAGGCCCTCCCCACCCCTGGAGATGCGGGGATCCCAGCCTCGACGTCAGATCGCTACAACCACTTATTCAATGACCCGGGGTTGTCGCCCCCCCGATTCACCACAGGACTCTCGCCTTTGACACTCGAGGCGTTCCTCAGCCTGACCAAGCAAGTGCAAACCATGGCGGGTATGATGAAGATGCTCCCTCCACTCATCCCCAGATCGTGCGGCTAGCGGCTCCCTTGACTAACCCGAACCGACAAAGGCCGAGCGGGGAGCAGGTCGGGATAGGAGAAGTCCGAGAGCACGCGACGAACCCAAGAGGTCCACCCACGCAGAGCATACCCGCACCTTGTCGAGTCACACTACCCCACTTTGAGCCTGACACCGTATCGTCTGACTCGGCGGACGACTTGCTCAGGGCCCAACTATCCCGGGTCAACCAATGTCTGGACGAGTTCCAGCATGAGTTCCGAAAATCACGGAGCGAGTCCAGCGAAGGCGGCTCAAGCAGATCCCCTTTCACTTAGGAAGTACAGGATAAGCCAATACCCCTCAAGTTCAGGCTGCCGGCATTGAAGACATACGACGGTAGCTCCAATCCCGCGGAGCGCGTCTCCGCATTTCAGGCTCAGATGGCCCTCTATGGCACCTCCGATGCATTTATGTGCTGGGCGTTTCTGACCACCCTGAGGGGACCAGCACGAGCATGGTTCAACCGGCTATGCCAATCCTCGGTCTCGTCCTTTGACCAGCTCGCCAGGGAGTTTGAGCAGAACTTCCTCGCCAGCGTATGACCTAGGCCTTCCATGGCCACCTTGCTCGCATTATCTCAGCGCAAAGATGAGCCACTCTCCTAGTTCGTGGCACGTTCCACCACTGAGATCCGAGGATTCCCAGATGCTCACCCCTCTTTAATCATGCAGGTGTTCCTGATGGGTTTGAAGCCTTAAAGGTTCTTATAGTCGCTGATTGAGAAGCCGCCAGTAACTATCGCCGAAATGCTGCAACACGCCAACTAGTATGTCGTCGCCGAAGCGTTGGTGGCGGGGAAGCATACGGAAGGTAAGAGGCCAAGGGCGGAACAATCTTGGGGAACAACCTCAGCAGCCCTGGCGCCACCCCGTTAAGGGTCCGACTGACAAGAGCTGCTGCTCTCGAGGCTCCCACCTCTCCCCCTAAATATGTCCCACACTGAGATCTTTCTCCAAATTAGGGAAAAGGGTCTCTAGTGATAGTCTTGTCCCATGAAGCCCACTCATAAAGATCGATCTAAATTTTACAGGTTCCACCGAGGCCATGGCCATGACACGGAGGATTGCCACAACCTCCAGAATTAAATTGAGGGACTGATCCAGAGAGGCCACCTCGGACGATATCTTAGGGAACCCCGGGAAGCGACTCTGTGCACCAGGGGACCCGTTGAAAGATAAATCGATGTCATTTCTGGGGGGCCAACAGCCGGTGGCAACAACTCTGCGTCGAGGAAGGCCTATGCCTGCAGCATGGTCGAGAAATGTCCCAGGTCCGAACTCGAGCCTGAAATCACCTTCGGGGCCAGAGAAGTCGAGCACTCCCATCACGACGATGCTCTGGTGATCTCCATCCAAGTCGCCAACACCCGAGTCAAAAGGGTGATGGTCGACACTAGGAGTTCCACCGATGCCCTTTACTTCGACGCCTTCAAGAAGCTCTGCTTGACTGAGCCAGACCTCGCCCCCATGGCGTCAGCGCTCACAGGATTCACGGGGGATTCCATCTCCTCGCTCGAGACCACGGTTCTCCCTGTCACCATTAGGGAGGAGCCGAGAGTGAAGACAATAATGACTGCCTTCATGGTAGTCGATCTGCCCTCAGCTTACAACGTCATCCTCGACCGACTGACGCTGAACAAGTTAAAGGCGGTGGTTTCCACCTATCACAGGGCCACCAAGTTTTCGACCTCGACGGAGATTAGGGGGGCCCGAAGAGACACAGGGGAGTCAAGGCAATGTTATCTCACGGCGATTACTCTCCTAGGGAAATCGCGCTCAACTCAAGTCCCCAACCCCCGTAAAGAACCCATGGCACCGATGCCGCTGGAGCCTCCCGAGCGGCTCACCGAGGTACCCTTGAAAAGGAGCTTACCCGATTTGACCATCAATGTCGAAACCACACTCCTCGAAGCAAACCGGCTCCACCTCATTGACTTCTTGAGGAGAAACGCCGATATGTTCACATGGTCTCCCAATGAGATGCCCGGGATCGACCCGGAAGTGGCTCAGCACCGGCTCAACATCGACCCCGAGGCTTGACCGATAAGACAAAGACCAAGGAAGTTCGCCCTCGACCGACAGAAGGCAATCGGTGATGAGGTTGATCACCTTAAAAAGGTCGAATTTATTATTGAGGTTCAATACCCTCGGTGGCTGCCGAATGTAGTCCTCGTTAAGAAATCTAATGGAAGCTGGAGGATGTGTGTTGATTACACCGATCTCAACCGGGCATGCCCCAAGGACTGCTATCTGCTCCCCAGGATAGACCAATTGGTCGACGCCACCATGGGCCATGAACTTCTCACGTTCATGAACGCATTCTCGGGTTACAACCAAATCTAGATGACGACTTAGGATCAAGATAACACTGCCTTCGTCACCAACAGAGGGGCGTATTGTTACAAGGTGATGCCCTTCGGTCTGAAAAACATTGGGGCGACTTACCAAAGGATGGTCGACAAACTTTTCAAGCACCAGCTCGGGAGGAATATGGAAGTATACGTAGATGACATGATCGTAAAGAGCAACGTCGTAAGCACACACTTGATCGACTTGGCAAAAATATTCCAAACCCTCAGGCGGTTCAACATACATCTGAATCCCGCGAAGTGCATCTTCGGGGTCAGCTCGGGGAGGTTCCGCGAAGTACATCTGAACTCCTGGGCAGTTAGCCCGTCGTCCCATATGTGACTATTGGCCTTGAGGGTCGCCCACCGGGTGGCGTAGGGGGCTCCCGGCTCCCCAACCGAAAGGTCGACCATGTTCAAGGCATGGTACTCCTCACCATCGGCTCGGGAGTAGACGCGGCACAGCTCCCGTATCGACGGTGGGCGCGTCGACGGAAAAATAATATAAAGCTTTACGAAATAGTATAATTTAAACCCTCGTGCAATAGTATAAAGCCCCGGGCCGACCTCCGACCAGGGGGAGGGAAAAATAATTCTACCCACTACTGACTTGCTCGTTGGAGGGGCCAAAGTCGGGAATCACCCGACGAAGACCATTTTTGCAGGGAAGCAACCACCTATGGCCCGCGAACATCCCAACCTTGGAAGTTGCCGACCAACGTCCCTAAGGCGAGCCATCAATTTGCCCAGATCCTAACCAACGCCAACCAACACTCCTTCTCGAGGGCGCAGCTACCTCAGCATCCAGCTCACTCTATAGAAAAGCTCCCGACATTGACCTACGGATCTAGCCATGCTGAATCATCAGCCATGATATATTTGTTCGCTAACAACAGGATACGAGGAAGATTTCTCTCTTACGTCTTCGCACATGCTTTTCGTATCACAAGTAATTGGTAGGAAGAGTTCATCGAAGGCTATGGCTGCAGGAGCAACACTGCAGCGAGGAAGATGATCGCGATAAGGGATGCAACTCAAACGTACACGCCACTTGGGGCTTTCATCGGTTGAATTGTCCGGGAGCGTTCACGGGTTCACGGGTCTAGTATGGAACAAAACACGCAGCTTGGGAAAGTTGAGAAGCGAACACGCAAGTACTGTCAGCTTATTCTTCGCGTCAACTCCAACCTCAAAATGAACCGCGGACAACTCGCTTGTCTAATGCTAGAATTCTCTAGACTTGCAGGATGATAACCTACAGCCATTTTTGCAGGCTTTCTGATGCAGCAGGGGATGAAGATGAATATGAGGTCTGAGACAGAGGAAAGGACGGAAGAGCAAAAGCAGCAACGAGGTCTCGTCCCCTTGGGGAACACGCAGTGAAGATTGTTGAGATGATGATTCAGTTTGGCGTCAAAGTGAACTCGGATCCATGTTCTTTTGGCTTCGAGGTTAAAGCGACTTTGGTAGCCAGTGATGTGTTGGCTGCACGCTTTGCACCATCGAGCATGTGATGTGTTGGTGCCAGTGCGGCACTGCTTTAGAGGCACTGAGTTCACGAGGTCTCTGTGATGTGATACAACCTTCTTCGCCATCACATTAAAATAACATTAGCTACTCAGTACGACCTGTGTGTCACAGTAATCATATGACTATCGATTGACAGATGCCACAAGGACAGCATTATCCATTTTAGCATCCCTCGCTCCGAACCACAACAATTCACGCTGGCTGGATCGTGGAAGGCTTCTGTTCCTCGTAAACTTTTGCTCGTTAGTGTCCGCCACCGCTTGCTGACGGTGAAAGTTCAACGGCGAAAGATTCCCAGCACATTCAATGGCTGTGGCAAAGCCAATCATCGAGGAAGCACCATCCCCTGCAAAGGCCTCACCTTTCCTGCAGGATTAAATTGCATGCTCCGATGTGGGCGCGTGCAATGCAATGCAATGCATGGCCCTTGCGTGCATACAATTCGCACTCCATTCCTCGATCTAAGAGATGACTTAAAGCCGGAATGGGAAAAGAGATTCCCAACTCCCCACCACCATCCCCCCACTTCGCTCCCCTCTTATCTCTCTTGCGAACTCATACGAAGCCATGAAACGAAAGATAATATCTAAACAAATGGCGTCTTCTATTAATTACACATTCACTACGGTGGTGGAATTGCTGTCTGCTTCTGTGAGAGGCCACAGACGGGAGGCACCCGAGAGACTGTTATCTCTTGCGCTGGAGCTTTCTGCTTGGATCGATGTAGCCTTTCTCCCTGAGCCTCAGCTCCAGGTTTCCCTGCTCTGGATTCTTTCTCTTGGAGTCTCTTTGCATCCCACATTGAAGCTCTGGGGATCCAGATTCAAATCCTGGTCTGTAAAAGCTGTGCTTGGAGCCCTCTTCTCGGACTCCTCTGCTTCCTATCTTCACTTCCTACTTGTTTCCTTCCTGAAGACCTTGACTTTGGCTTCCCAGAAATCTTCTGGCTCCAAATCCTTGGTTTTCTCTGTACGAATTCGCTCGTCTAGCACCAATTCTTTAGCGTATCGTGGAAGATTCATTAAACTCGACCTTCTTAGCTGAAAAAGATGGTTCCTTCTCGAGCCTCGGTGTTGATGGCGGCCCTGCTGCCTCTCCTGCTGCAATGCAGCGTGGCGGTGACGGAGGCGTCGTGCTCCGACGTCGTGCCGATGAAGCAGCGAAGGGAGGTGATTTCGATCACGGACTTCGGAGCTGTGGGAGACGGGAAGACGCTCAACACTTGGCCTTTCAAGAAGGCCATCTATCGGATTCAGCACCTTCGACGCAGAGGTGGTACTCTTCTCTACGTCCCCCCCGGCGTTTGGCTCACAGGGAGCGTCAGCCTAACCAGCCACATGACGCTTTACCTGGCCCGAGGAGCCGTCATCAAGGCCACCCAGGCGTGTCTTCTCGTCACCTTTAACCTTCGCTTCTAACCACCTAGTAGACCAAGTTATGAAGTGGACTAAACTTGGGGTTACATATCCTTCAATGGCTGTACCTTCATTTTTGTACACGGATGCCAGAGGATACTGCTGTGGGTTCCGCTGACACTGGCAAAGTTGAGCTGTGCAGGATACACGGAGGTGGCCTTTGGTGGATCCTTTACCGTCGTATGGAAGAGGGCGGGAGCTGCCGGGCCGCAGATACATGAGCTTCATTCAGGGAGACGGCATCAGTGATGTGATCATAACAGGTGACTCGCTATCACATCGCTCTTTAGGTCTTGCTATTGCATTCTGCAGAGGCAGCATGTTTGTCGTCTGCTGCACTCTTTTGAATTCTACATTCTTTTGTGGAGATCTATTAACAAAACATGCACCATTGGCGACACACAGTGGTTTCCATGTCCAATGCCAACATGGGCGCTGTTTCCTGGGCAACATTAGCGGAAGCACTGAAAGGTCTTTCACCCGACGGAGACGAATCTCTATGCCCTGCAGCTGAAACGATAAATAATAAGAACAAACAAAAGGGCATACATGCATGATTATTTGTAGAAAAAGGATGTGATAATGAAAACATTCGAATTTAATGATTTTTTCCCCAAGCGGACGATGTTCATCTGTCGAGAAGGGCATGCCTCGCCTGGGCAGCAACAGTAAAACAGAGAGAAGCTCTTCATACATCAAGAATCTAATTTGTGTTCTTATACGCTTTTGTAATCACAAATTTTCGTATTTTAAATGATATTAGAGTGAATAGCGAACACAGGATGCTATTCACGGTGCAAAGGATTCGAAGTTAGGTCTCAGCTCAGGCAGATTTCTTTATCCTTGCAGTCCACTCTGGTTTGCAGAGGTCCATCTTTGGTGAACCTACGATGTGTACATATTTCAAGCAGCTTGTTTTTGCTTTCTTCCTCGCACAAATGGATTACCTGGTTCAAATACTCAGATGATCAAGGATGGTCTATGTTTGTTTGGATGATTCACATTTTGCTTCCGCAGGTGAGAATGGAACAATCGATGGTCAAGGCGAGGTGTGGTGGAACATGTGGAGGCGGAGATCTCTCCATTTCACAAGACCGAATCTTGTGGAGTTCAAGAATTCTAGAGATATTATCATTTCTAATGTGGTCTTTCAGAACTCTCCTTTTTGGAACATTCACCCTGTTTACTGCAGGTAGCTACATTCTCTTCCTTTTTCTTCTTTTCGACCATCTGTTGATCTAGCGTTGAAGGAAGACGACGATCTGCATCTCTGTTGCAGCAACGTGGTGATAAAGTACGTGACCGTGTTGGCTCCGCATGACTCCCCTAACACGGATGGAATAGATCCAGGTATACTGGTTCCTTCGAATGCTCTTTGAGCATGCAACCGCGTCATGTGTGGTGATCGAAGAAGAAACTCGTTTGATTCAGATTCCAGCTCGAACGTCTGCATCGAGGATGCCCACATCTCAACTGGGGATGATCTGGTGGCCGTAAAGAGCGGGTGGGACGAGTATGGAATCGCTTATGGGCGTCCCAGCTCTGGCATCACGATCCGAAGGCTCACAGGCTCCTCGCCCTTCTCCGGCGTCGCCATCGGAAGCGAAACATCGGGCGGGGTGGAGAACGTCCTGGTAGAGAACGTCAACCTCTACGACACCGGCATCGGCATCCACATCAAGACCAACGTGGGGAGGGGAGGGTTCGTAAGGAACATCACGGTGGTCAACGTGAGCATGAACAAGGTGCGCAAGGGGATCCGGATCGCAGGCGACGTCGGCGACCACCCCGACGAGTACTTCGACCGACGCGCCATCCCCACCGTGGACGGCATCACCATCAAGAACGTGTGGGGCGTGGACGTGCAGCAGCCTGGATCTATCCAAGGCATCAAGAACTCACCCTTCACTCGGATATGCCTCTCCAACGTCAAGCTGTGGGGCGTCGCCAAGCGCTCGGCGCCGTGGAAGTGCGTGGACGTCAGTGGAGCTGCTCTCGGAGTCCAGCCATGGCCATGCTCGGCCCTCGCTCGCACCATCAGCTCAGGATACTGCTCCACCGCGTTCTAGGACCGTTAGTTTCGTTCTTTCTTTGCCCATGGATTGGTTTTCGTAAAGCATCAAACTCGAGTTCAGATCTACAATGAAAGGGCCACATTAAATTAGTTGATTTGAAGCACCTAAATCTTAATCGATTTGAACTTTAGGGGAACTTAATTGATTAGGGCGGCACGCGTGACGTACGTGAGGTGTGATTTCCCGCGCTCGGTGGGACGAAAACATTTCCTACGCTCTCTGTTTCTGTTTCGTGCCCCACTTTGTCGGGTGTTTCCAGAATCAGCATATAGGGTTTAGGTTTTGAGCGGCTCTGCCTCCATGGCTGCTGCGCGTCCTCCGTCGAAGCGCCGCCGGACGAACGGGAGCGATGGGGGTGCCACCGAGGGGTCTCCTGGAAAGGAGGGCGCGCCCCTCGTGGTCTTGGCCCATGGCGCCGGGGCCCCATCCACCTCCGAGTGGATGCTCAGGTGAGCGGCTTCGTTTCTAGCTGCTCTTTTCCGAATGAAACCCCCCGCCTCAGGGTGGATCTGATGCTCCTTGGTGTGTTTGGATTGAAATTATAAACCTACAAACCTCCTCCCCCAACTCCGCTTCCTCTTCCTCTTTCATTCTATCTAAACATCCCAAATCACCCTTGCGAAAAAAAAGGGTACTTTTTTTCTTTTTCATTAATATGAATGCATGTTCCAGTTACTCTTTCACAAGGTAAAATAAAAAAAAATCTTTGGTGCTTATCAACTAAAGAATGAATGGTGCCGTTTTCAGATGGAAGGAAAAGTTAGGGGAAGAACTGGATGCTGTCGAAGTAGTCACTTTCGACTATCCCTGTGAGTATCTTCGGGATGATGCATGAGGTGATGATTGATTGGTCTGATTAAACAATGGAAAACAAAGCGGTCGCTTTCAGAATACCGGTCTGATCTGCAAAGCAAGGAATCTTATGTTCTACTTACAGAATAGTGCTTTGTTGATGAGGATATGTTCACCGGCAGGGGAAATGGGTGGCGTTGTTAGGTGATTGTACATGACACTTAACTGGCTTAATTGCCGTGCAGATATCTCTGGCGGAAAACGCAAAGCTCCTCCCAAAGCAGAAAAGCTAGTTGATCATCACCTGGATGTTGTGAAACGTGCTATTAAAGAATATCCTGGGCATCCTCTTATTCTGGTCGGGAAGTCCATGGGATCAAGGTAATAGTCGGTTTATTCGACTAATCTGCTAATTCATGTATGTTTGGTTAATTGTCGTCTTCGATAACGTATAATTTCCGATTTCAACAGAGTCAGTTGCATGGTAGCTGGTAAGGAAGATATCAATGTTTCAGCAATCGTATGCTTGGGTTATCCACTAAAGGTACTAATCTGTTGATTGTGTTCTTCGTTTAGATCTGCTTACATTTATTAGATTTTGTAAATTTGTGTATGGCTAATGTATTGCAACCTGATAACGGAATATGAGAAAAACTGGAGTAGCTTGCAGGAAGGCCGAAAAGCTATTTTGAGGAGTGACTCGTAAAGAAGGTTAGAACGAAACTGATTTGGGATGAGTTGGGAGGTAGCTTCATCGTTTGTTTTTTTCTTGTAAGAAAAACAAATGAGGTACAAGATCGGCCATCTTGTCCGTTGTGAAGGCTGAAACTGAAGCAGCACCATTGTGATACAATAGGTGCTCCACCAATCAAACACATGGGATCAATCCTGATAGATCAATGAACCAGTGGATGCATGGTGGAATGGACTTGGATCAGCCGATACAATGGTCCAGACCTGTTGGATTACGAATCTCCTTTTTTATCATAATTTATGTGTCATTGTTTGTCATAGGATCAGACTGGGTGGTTTGGCATAATGTATGGCCTCTCTCATAAGCGATTACCATAGGTTATTTTGGTTTTGCCAGGGAACATGTTTCCCGGTTTCCTACTATATTTTATTTTTTGTTTTTTTTCCAATTTATGATCCACTTTTAGAGAAAATATTAACCCACAGTCCTGGTTGATCGCCATCCAGGTCCCAAATTTTCTTTACTCATAAGTGTTTTATTAAAGCTCGTAAGAACTATGACCTGTCTGCTTCAGAAAACCTTCTTTTGTAAAGCATCAGATCAACTAACATAACATGTGAGAGTAATGTGCAACATAAATGTTTTTATCTGTGTAGTTTTGTTTCTCTTGCAAAGTCAATACGAGGTACCGAACCCTTCATTGTTTGTGACATCTTTCTGCCACACTCATCAGCTGAAAATTTTACCTCATCCTACATTTTATTTTGACTTGAAATAATCTGATGGAAGAAATTGAGAAGTTATAATTCTATGCTAATCTTACTTGTTCAAGAACTTGCAAAATCCATGTGGAAGTTGTATTTGATGGTCATAAAAGTTGATGAGGAATGCACTGAATGCATGGAGATTAATTGGTCACCGTTTCATAGGGCATGAACGGAGTAGTACGCGATGAGACATTATTGCAGCTAAAGGCTCCGACTATGTTTGTGCAGGTTAGGATTCATGTACTAATCATTGTGTTATCTGAGCTTTGTAGCCTTGTTATTCCAACATGGACTTTCTTCTTTTATGTTATGATTGCTGACTCATAAGTGAACTTTGGTATAGGGAAGCAAAGATAGTTTGTGTCCTCTGGATAAGCTGGAAAGCACCCGCAAGAAAATGAAATGTGTCAATGAGCTGCATGTGATCGATGGCGGTGACCACTCATTCAAAATTGGAAAGAAGCACCAACAGTCCACCGGGATAGATCAGGACGAAGCCGAAGAAAGATCTCTGAAGGCAATAGCCGACTTTGTCAACAGATCTATCCTAGAACAGTGGTGATATGCGAAAAGCACAAGCCAACCTGAAGGTTGCTAATTCCAACACCGTCGAGTCTCCTCCTTTGGCACGCTAGGATCCTAATTTATAATCTGACTGTGGCACGGGTGTTTCGGGTCCTGTGATGTTTGATAGTTTTAAGGTGTAAGATTTTGTAAATCAATGCTGTGTGCTTGAAATACACCAACACTTGCATCCTATTGTGCTGACTTTCCACTCTTAACGCATGTATTTGCTTTGCCCTTTTATCTTATTGTGGAAATACCATAAATCTTGAATTGACTTTTGGCTTGAAAATTAAGAAGAAAGGATGTCTGAAGTGATGCGGATTGTCGATCAAATCGTAATTACAGGTTTTGACTTGTTGATCGTTCCCTTATTATCTAGTGAAAGTCAAAGTTCTAGATTTGATATGGTTGGTGAAAAAAGTGACAGCCTTTCTCGCTGGCGAAACATATTCCGTTGGCTGATGATATGGACATGACACCTATGTCCATGAGGTGACATGACATTATACTTATCCTTTCCAATTTCAAGATAATCCATTCAGTGTAACATATATTAGTCCTTCCATGGATTAAATAATATAATTATGATTTACAAATTAAAATTAAATTAAACGTCAGGAATCATATCCACCACCCAATAATTATGTGCGATCCTCTCTCCATATCACCCAGAAACACTCGCGGGATGATTCAGTCAATCCGAGCATTTTGATGGCCAAGCAAGTCTCGCGGATACGAGGCCCCATCGCGAGGGCCCCGCCATATCAACTCAGCGATCGAGAGACAGCATCACCCCGGAAAGGTCACAGGGGTCGCTCGGTCTCCTCTTCTTCACCTTCACCCTGTGCTTGATTACAGCACGGCAAAAGGACAAAGCATCCTCTTCTTCTTCTTCTTCTTCTTCTTCTTCTTCTTCTTCTTCTTCTTCTTTCATTTTTCTTGGCTTCACATGTAATTTGTTCCAATATCTGGTCCCTGGTAGGACCAACAAACAGATAAGCCTCCCACAGCCTTAAATTTCTGTCTCTCTCTCTCTCTCTCTCACGCGCACAGAAGAGGATGAGACAATAACAGCTTCGTTCGGACCAGCCGTTTAAGAGCCTCAGGCTTGACTATTATTATCATTCTCTGGAGACGCAGCGCCTGCCTCTTTCATGGATTCTGAGACCACTTTAGTCTCCTTTCCTTGTCCCTTCTATTGGAGGGAGGGACCAGCTTCTGGCTTTCCCATATATATGAACCAAAAGGGCATCACATGCATCTTATGCAGCAGGGAGGAGCACTCGAGAGATGTGAATTCAAGTTCATTGAATATTGTGGATACAAAATATGTCTACATATGGATGGATTGGATCGGACATCTCCACTCACGCTTCAACCAAACTCAAGCGCACAACATGCATCGACTCAGGAAACTCTCCAAACCGAGGACCAAGGACCAAGAAGAGAAGGAACGCAAAAGAATAGAATGTAGAGAGCAGCCTCATCATCCTAATCCGGAACAAAAGCCCACATCCCCTCAGCGGTATTTGCCATATCGCCTGGCAGCAGCAAAGCCTTCACCGTGCCTCATTATCCAGAACCTCTCTATTTCCTCCGGCTTCCTCCCCGGAATCCGGCCAGCTATTATATCCCATCTGCAAAAAGCCCCCCACATCAGATTAAAAGTAGTAGACATTGGCAGCGCAGCCGATACATTACCAAGTACCAATTCGTAGAATAAAGTTGGTACGACTTTCACCGACTTTCTTTGTGTTGGATTTCATGTGCAGAGTGCTGCACCCTTACCTTATCGGTTTGACAACTAAACATACTTTTATTGACATGACAGAGATTGCAGAGCAATAGTATTTGACGAGGCTGGACTGGTCACACCATACTAGAATCCACCGGTCGGTTTATCCGGCATGATCTCCGGCAGACATGAACATTTTCCATCATCGCTGATTGTCGTTCATGCCCTCATCTTCGCTAAATCTTTCGTTATGTGCACTTCATATATGGTATGCAACCGACAGAATGAAGCTAATCATGTCCGACATTCTGAATCAGGAGCATGGGCTCACCTGTCGCCGACGAGCCTGTACATTCTATAGATGAGATCTTCCTCTTGCTCCGTCATGTTGATGAACTGCCACTCCACGCTGCTGACCTCTGCCATCCACCAACAACATCAGCGTTACCCTCTAACAAAACCAACCTGCCGAGGCCATCAGGGGGGTGGTCACACAAGCTCCTCACCTTGCGACTCCCGTCTGCTGGACGCCCTGCGCTGCTTCTTACGGCGGTTGTCCATGGCCTCCCGTTCGTCCGCCTGTGTCAGATGGCAAAAGATGGAACAGCCCCGACCGACCAAGGTACGAGAGAACAGAGGCGGCAACTGCGTGGTTATATAGCGGCGACACTTTGGGCAAGGTGGGGAGGAAGAAGAGGTAGTTGGAGAGGCAGAAGGAGAAAGGCTAAGAACAACGATCTCTTAGCCTTTCAACAAAGAAGGAAAGGTGTGGATGCCATAAAGCGCTCGAGCAGCTTGCGGTCGAGTGAAGTAAAGAACGGCAGGTGAGAGCGGCTTACATCCCGACAACGCCAAAACCCCGAGCTGACGAGTAGTTGTCGATCTCCTCCCCGCCACCGCGTAGCGAGGCGCGACCGAGTCACCCTCGAAACTCCACGAGGGGATCGCCCCACCCTCCCCTCTGGCATGCCTGCCGAGCGGGCCCCACGCCTCGTCAGCCCTGGAAGGTCAAAAAGAGAAAGAAAGAAGGATCCCACCGGGCCATGGCCGCCCACCTAAAACAGCATATTTAGGTGGCGCTTGATGGGGAAAAGGGGAAATCTAGTACCGCTCGCTCATGTCCATCTCCCCCCGTGTCTCTTCTGCGACGAAGTTTTGATCTCGCGACCAGGAAGTACACCTCCTTTTCTTTCCTCCGTGGCAACAAAATGAGTTGGATTCTGTATTGCCACAAACCAAGAAATTAACGCAATCACGGACGGGCCTCGAGTTACGGTGGCGTCACCTAACTTGAGGCGAGGGAGTGGGGGCGGCATTATCCTGTCAGGGCTTTGATACCAACCAAGAAGAAAGCCATCCTTCGGTGATGGGCGGCACAACCACAAGTCTACCATCAAACTATAACACCATATCATATAATACAAGGGGTTCGTACCAGTGACTCGTACAAACAGGTGGCACTGCATAAAGACATCTTAAACCTTGTCGGGATTTAGACAGCCGAGCTGCAATGGGCGACTCATCTCGGAATCCAAGTGCTCGGACCAATCGATAAGCTCGCAGATGCTGTTCTTTACCAGCACATCCGAAGCAAACCCCTTCGGAGTTTGGATACGTCTGCCTTCTCGTATAATTAATGACCATTGTCTCTTGAGGCTTATCAATTCGCAGGTAAAAGGCTGCTGCAGTCCATATTGAAGAGACCTAACCGTGGCGGTGAGTTACGAGCAAACTACTCGAAGGAGGAGAGAGAGAGAGAGTTGACTGGTTGGTTTGATTCTGTCCAGGAACCCAAGTCGGTCCTTACTCTTACTGTTCACCATCAGAAGAATGGCAGACCGGAATACGGTCGGTCCTTCTGCTCTCGTCCGGCTGGCTCTATCCGGTATGCAACGTCGGGACAGTTCCCTTTAGGATATCGTATGGCCATGGCGGTTTCCAGGCATCGGGTTAAGGTGGCCATGCATGCAGGAATCGATGAGAACGAACTAATGAGAATATGAGATGGGAGTCCACACGAAAGACGCAACGAGGAAATGTCACTTGAGATGATGGATTCGAATGATTATTATAGGCACATACATGCTTCTGTGTATGAGAGGAAAACGGGGGGATATCCAATGCCAAGCTTGCGTTGAGCATCAATCAGGTCAGATTTGGTCCATCCAAAAGCTCACTCTCCGGTTATGTTCCCTATCCACAAATGAACTTATTACTATCATATAAACTGCATTAAACGATAGCTTGGTCTAAAGCCTTAAATTGCCACCAAATAGTTTCCCTTTCTTCATGTCAAAACGGCACAGCACACAAAGATCTCCCCCTCCATCCTACCAAGACATCGTACTGAATCGGTCATAGAGTTGCAATAATTGAACTCAAAACACGTTTGCCGGTGGTGCTTATTCTTCCATTCCTCGCATCTAACATGTTGATGTAGGAATCTGAATATTGAATTAGCACAGGTCTCGAAATTAGGTTCATGTGCTACTGCTGCACCCATTTTAATTTGACGTACAAGACATGTTTATGTTCCCCGACATGACTCGGGAGATGGACGAACAGACGGACTAATAGAATACTGGACTGTATTTAATTACTGGCTAGCTAGCGAGCTAGAAGAAGGCAACACCCACCCCGAGGCATGCGTTTTGGCTATTAAATTATTTAGTCTTTTATTAATTTGTAGATAATGATTTGGAAATTACAACAGTCTAATCAACTCGACAACGAGTGCGCATCCAGGAATGGTGATGACATACGTGCAGAGATTCCATCTCGTCGTGATTGTTCATCTAGTCAAAACGATGTCAAAGAAACCTACCCTTTTCGTATGGCAATCTATCATCGTCATCCATGTATAGCTCTGCGTGAAACCAATATTTTTTTTTCTGTGGCTTTCAGTGAATTATTATCGTTGTGATGTCTCGATGACCTAAGGCATGGGGACCGACACACCTGAAATATTTGAGGGTATGATTCAGTCTAGTTTTATTGCATGTCATCACAAACCTCTTTATTTTGAATTAGTGCATATATATATATATATATATA